GAAATAATATATTATTACGAAAGTGTCTTGAAAAAAACTATTTAAGTATTGACGGTACCGTCTCGCGTGATGGTACCAACCCACCCCTTTGAAGATGCACCAACAAAAGAGATCAAACCACCACAATAGAAAGTGAAACTTGCCCTATGGTGTTATGGTCGGTGTTAATCATACGGTAGGTATATACTGACTTTGCATGCATCTGTGGTACTGTATTGTGTGTGGGAAAAAAAGGATTTTTTTTTTGAGGCTTGAATTGTGTGTGTTTAAATATATCGATTTTATTTTGTACTCGGTTTGCCAGTAGTTGATATTTAAAGCTTTGTTTATCTGTCAACTGTCAAAAATATAGTGAGCTCTGGTGCAATCAAATCGAAAACTCCATAGGTTACAACCCTCTGTAGGGAATGGTTTATCGATATTTGTAGGTATCGATACGAAGTATTTAATTTCATTTCTTTATTTCTCAATTTTTGTTTATTCCCGGCTCTTGAATGTTTCGAAATAAAAGGAAAATTGAAGAGAAAGGAATAGAGAAAACACCAATGTTTTCTGTATACGAATCTACTCTCAATTTTTCTTGAATTCTTTCTCTCCATTTCTCAATTTTCCAACTCAATTTTTGTTTCTTCTCGGATTTTGAATTTTTCGAAATAAAGGAAATTCAAAAGTGTGGAATATAGAAAAAACAAATGTGGCTAATAAAAACCCTAAAATAGTCAAATAAAACGAAAAGAAAACAACATAAGAAACTCAACATTTAAGAAAAAGACAGAGACAACGTGCGGGAAAAATTAAACAGTGACGCAAATTTTGATTATTCCCGGCGCTTGAGTGGCCAAAAGCTTGGAATTATAAAGAGAAAGAGATATAGGAAACTCAATAAATAAGAAAGAAACAGAAACAAAGTGGGAAAAGTAAAAAATTAACACGAATTTCGATTATTTCCGGCGCTTGTGTGAGCTTGTATGTAATTTTTGTATTTGGCTAATAAGAAGCCTACTATAGGCAAGTAAGACAAAGAAAACAATACAAGAAACTTAACATTTAAGAAAAACACAGAGACAATGTGGGAAAAATTAGATAGTGACGCAAACTTTGATTATTTTCGGCACTTGAGTGGCCAAAAGCTTGGAATTATAAAGAGACGGAGATATAGGAAACTCAATAAATAAAAAAGGAACAGAAACAAAGTGGGGAAAGAAAAAAAAGTAACAATAATTTGAATTATTTCCGGCGTTTGTGTGTGCTTTTATGTAATTTTTGTATCTGGCCGATAAGAAGCAGGCAAATAGGACAAAGAAAACGATATAAGAAACTAAACATTTAAGAAAAAGACAGAGACAAAGTGGGAAAAATTAAATAGTGACGCAAACTTTGATTATTCCCGGCGCTTGAGTGGCCAAAAGCTTGGAATTATAAAGAGACAGAGATATAGGAAACTCAATAAATAAAAAAGGAACAGAAACCAAAGTGGGAAAAGAAAAAAAAGTGACACGAATTTCAATTATTCCCGGCGCTTGTGTGAGTTTGTATGTAATTTTTGTATCTGGCCAATAAGAAGCCTAAAATAGACAAGTAGGACAAAAAAATGACATAAGAAACTTAACATTTAGGAAAAAGACAGAAACAACATGGGAAACATTAAATAGTGGCGCAAACTTTGATTATTCCCGGTGTTTCAGTGACCAAGAGCTTGGAATAGTAAAGAGACAGCGATATAAGAAACTCAATAAATAGGAAAGAAACAGAAACAAAGTGGGAAAAGAGAAGAAAGTACAGATCGTTTCATCAGGGTTCATAAAATCTGTTTTTTTTTTTAAAGATAAAAGTCAAAATGACATTATGTTGGCAATACAATGTAAAATTGTCAATGCTTTCAAATTTTTTATGTAGAAAAAGCTTGTGTTGCCAACATAGTTACTAAATTTTTGACTTGGGGAATTATCTTTAAAAAAAAAACAGACTTTACTTGACCTTGAAAACTTGAAAAAAAAAAGGTCGTCGTAAATTAATTCATGTGACACGTGACACATTCAATTTTTTTGACAAATTAAAATGAATGACTTCTGGTTTAAGAACCGACGAACCTTTTTGACATCTTTGATTTGTTTCAGCCAATTTCCATTTATTAGAAAAGGAAGGCAAATTATTCCAAAAGTATGAACCCTGGTGAAACAAAGTTTAACACCATTTGTGTTTAACGAATAATAAATTTTGCAAATTCCTTATCGATACACATCGATATGATATGACTTGTAGGTCTGTTCTCACAGTAGTCTCTGACAGTTTGCAATTCTTCAGAAACAATCGCTCAGCTAAGTTACCAATTTATTTTGAAATGACAGCTTTGTAAACATCTTATATGTTTATTGACAGTTTGCAAACTGTCAGAGACTCTTGTGAGAACAGACTATCATCGATATGCCCTTCTCTACAATGTTGTTGTAAGGGATGATTAAGAAAAAGCTACAAAAATTCGAAATTGACAAAAAAGTTGTAAAACAACTTTAGAGATTTTTTCGTGTTAATGCGACAAATATGACGTACAGGTGCACATACCTACCAATTTGTAAAGAAAAGGTGCAAATAACAGCGTTTATCCGGAACCCTATGGGGGCAAAAGAGTTAAAAAATCAACACCGATAATCCGCCCCGGAATTATTATTTATGACTTTTTAATGGTAATCTGTGACGTATTAATTATGACGTTGCCGGGCGGGTAAATGATATTTTAGTGGCTCTTTTGTTTTTTACGAGCCCACTGAAAGACACAATGTGTGCGGTATAGCAGGTGGCCAATGATTGATGATCCACAGTACCTACCTACTGCGTAACGGCCTCATTGTATTTATTATGATTTTTCCTTTTTATCTTTGACAATCTGTGACAACTCGAAAATTACATATGTATTTTTTGACGGTTCAAAATTTGACGTCAAAAATCCTACTAGGAAATAATTCCATTTTGAGTGCAATAGCGTTTTCAAAATGATTCAATTAGTGCAACACTAATAATGTCAACCTGATGATAATGCGAAAAGTTACCATTAATCGTTTTTTTTTTATCTGAACAAACTGATCGGATTCACTTGTGTCACAATTGTCATCCGGTTTTACAGAGATTTGATTGGCCCTGACTGTTTTTTTGACGCCGCATAAACAAACCAAGTGATGATTGCAATTTGTATACAAATAACATGACGCGTTTATTTTTCTAAAAGCATTATATCAATAAAGTAAGTTTCAAGTCGCTACTAGGTTTGTACTTATGTCATCGATGACGTCATAACTTAGAAACCGCATACGTCAAATTGGACTTTTGATTTTAAAATTACACTCGCGTTAAGTGAAAGAGTTCCAAGTACAGAAGCGTCTTCTACTACAACTTGACTTTGAATAATATAACATGCCTTAACATGAGAAGTATTTTGACAAAATTAACTTTTTTGACAAACTCAATAAATGACTGGTTTTTGTGAACCGACGCATGTTTATGACGTCATTAATTTTGTTCCAGTAAATTTTTGTCAAATGATGACGTAAGTACAAACCCTGATGAAACGAACTATATCAAATTTAATAAACAAAATAAAAATTCGACTTAGTTCTTTGTATGCATCCGAGGAATTTAAATCAGAAATCAAAACAGTAGCCTGACTCCGACTTGAGAGAAGGGCATCCGAGCGAAGAAGGCCCTGCAGGGGACCCACCGGACGACTTTTAATTCTCGTTTTTTTTTTTTTTTTCTTCTCGTCCATGGGATTTTAACGCACGCTGAAATGAACACTGATCCTTTCTTGCTTCTACTCCGCTGCTCTTTTGTTATTTCGATTTTAAACTTCGTGTGTCATTCAAATTACCGGGCTTTTTGACGTTTTAATTCGATCCCCCCGTTTCGTGTTACCTTTTTTTGGAAGCACCCGGATTTTTTCGGTAGCCACTGTTAAAGCTTATAAGCGGATTTTTTACGCTCCGGAGCATGTTTTAATTAATTTTTTTTTTGTCGGATGATGTAATAGGTATGTTTTTTAATATTTGGTTCATCCTACTTGATAATTTACAAGCCCTACAGAGCCATCTATTGGCTACAACATAATAAATGACGCGTGTTATAAATTGATTTTATAGGTGGCGCTTATGGACAATTAATGCCAAAGTTGCTCCATTGTCCGAACGATGGCGCAAGGAGACAATTATCAAAATTATAACAGTAGGTGGAGCTGCTAAACGGTTTAAAAAAAAAAGGTTGCACTAGTGTCCGGTAGGTATCACTGTTGTGAACTTGACAACTGACGTTGATTTTAATTTTTTTTTTTGAATTTTTTTCTATTCCCGGCTCTTGAACTATTTTAAAGAATGATGTTAGTTGGCTTAATTCTGCAAGACTCTTATCGATATTACAAATTTGTGTCATAAGCCTTGTTCTAAAGTCTGCCAAATATAAATTTACCGACGGAAAAAATACGGACAAAAAATTGACAGCTGCGGTAACTCCTTTCCTCTCGCGTTGCCAGTACATTAATAAGGCGATTGGTTGCCAGACATGATACACACCTATAGGATTGCTTATCGGCATCGTTTTTGGTATTCGCCGTCATATTGGTGTGTCACCATTTCCGACGTCATAACTAAGTGGTCAGCTGTTTAAACAGCCTTCGTCAAGGCGAGAAATAACATGCTGCTTATTGTTCGTCGATCTTTAACCGATACTTGCGGTATGAGGAGCGAGGGGGTTGTTTCATATGCGTTGGCGTTCTAATGTAGGGAGCCACCAGCTCACATTTCGTCCGAGTATCAGATTAAAATCGACGAACATACGTCACAACTGGTGATTTGGCGTGAAGGGGGCAAGAAGAGGATTTATTCCACACACAGGCCTTATAAGGATAGGCTATCCTGTAGTGGTAGAAGCTGTGGCAATAGTGTGTATCATCCTTGATTGGCTGCAAATGATTTAAATCCATTATAGTGAAATTTGAAAAGAAATTTTACAAGTAATGTTGTTAATAAATTTATTAGAAAAACTGTATTGCTTATTCATTTAATTCCTACGCCTATTATTCCGAAACTCCAAAGAATTCCCTCGAAAATCCCTCTGTTGTTGCCGCTGATAATTATTATCCTGATTAACAGGAAAACAGTCCTGCCTGAGCACCTCCTCGATGTTGCCGTATCCCTGAAACCTCACCGCGTAGGTACGATCCGTCACAGCGGCAATACTGGCCGGATACAATTTCCCATCTTCCCAGTATTTGGCCATGCACTGATCGCCTACATTCAAACTGGTAATGGCAGAGGGAGCCACCTGTTGCTGCACCGTAGTAGTAGGCAAATTCAAATGGTTTCTAAGCGTACGCGTGGCAAACTCGCTGTTGATTGACATTTTTGACATGGAATTTGACAGATTATTGACGTTTTGCTTACGATCTTCTACTGTTATGTTTTGATATTGTTCTCGACTATTTCTATTATTGTATTTTGGCTCTGTTGCCACGTTTGTTGGTTTTTTGTAGTTATTGACAACATCGCTTTTAGAGTAGTTAGATTGTTTTCTATTGCCACCATCTTGATTCTGTTCCTCTGCTGCCAAACCTCTTGATTTTTGGTAGCCATTAGTAACATCGTTAGATTGTTTTTTATAGCCGCCATCTTGATTGTATGTTTGTACTGCTAAACGTTGCTCTGTTGCCAAACTTCTCGGTTTTTGGTAGCTATTGGCAACATCGTTGTTTTTAGAGTAGCGAGATTGTTTTCCATAGCCATCTTGATTCTGAGAGTGATAATTATTATTATGTTGATTCCTAGGAGTATTATTGGTTTGTACGTAGCCATTTTGTCTAGAATCGTAATTATTGCTTTTGTTGAATTGTTGTTTTTCGAGGTTATAATGAGGTAGCTGTTTGGTTGTGGAGGCACTTGTCTGAGGCAATTTATCTTCCAAAAAGGAAAACAATGAAACCTTTTCCAAAGGTCTTTGTGGTTTTTCCTCTTCGTCCTCATGTCTAAAGGATTTTCTGACATTCTTGACATACTTTTGCTGTTGTGGCATCGAAACAACATTTTGCCTCACTCTGCCACCAAAAGTTTTTTTAACTGCCCCCGAACTGACCTCCATTATAGCTTCTTTCCTTTGCAATTCAAACTCACTTGCTTCATCTTTAACTTCCTTTGCCTCTTTAGAAGTGGTTTCTTGCAATTTAGCTAATTTATGACCAAAAGGCACCCATGGTGGAGCCCCGCCACTGCTACCAATCAAATGATCCTTTTTGACATTTTTGGCCACCTGCCACTTGTCATACAAATGCTCAACACGACCTCCTAGCACCTTAAAGTTGCTGTTATCAATCAAAAGAAAACCTCCAGTGAATTTGGCGCCATCTACAAGACATTTAGTACCAGGAGCTGTTTTGTCACGATTCAATGACGTCACAGGGCCTACTTCGATCGCTTGCACGTAACCGTCGCCGTCTGTCAATGTCAATTTGAGCATCCTAGGAGCAGCCTGCGATTGTTCGTTGGCTTTGGGAGCCGCGACGTTTCGGATTTTCGCGATTTGCAGCACCATTTTGCTTGAGGAAGTTAAATTTGCTAGAGCGGATTTTCCGATCGACTTGAGGTCGCTGTCCAAGGCCTTCGTTAAACATTGTTTGGGGTCTTTTACGGTTCCCTTGCTGGTGATCAAATCGAGGCCGTCTGGTGACAGATTCCTGCAGAAATTTTTAAATTTATTGATGGATTTAGGGTTTTTTCGGAAGACTTACCATTCGATACCTAATATGGTGTTTGAGGACATTTTCGCTATGAAATCATGAGGTATTTTTGGTTTGTTTACGTTTCCTGATTTTTGACAATAGAAAATATAACCTCGCTTTTTTATTTTGACATCAAAATGTCAGGTGATTGTAGCGTTTTCAAACCGCAAACTAGCGTACTATCAATTGGAGCAAGAATAGAGATTCGTGCACTGTTATAGTTCCTTCCCGAACCAGAACAGTACGAATGGTTAAAATCAGAGAAAAGTTTAAGGATGCGGATATATCGATACGTTCTACATAATGGTGCATATCGATACGATTCATTCATATTTTTTTAATTCCAGGCTGTTGAATAGCATGTAATAATTCAAAGTTGAGTTGTAGACGGCGCGTTTTTACTTGGAGCTTTCTAAATTGTGGCGGTTTTTAGTAATAATTCTACTCTGACTGTTGTTCCATGTGCACTAACTCGTTCTCATCTGTTCAACTGTCCGAACTACTTTAACTGTTTTAATGCTGTCCCATTTGCATTAATTCGATTTAAATGACTCTAGCATTCCATCTGCATTGCTTTAATTTTTGTTCCATCTGCACTAACTTTGTTCTGTTTGCACTGCTCTGATTGTTACTGGTCAAAGTACTCTAACCATGCGCTCGGTATTTTGATCTGAGTTCTCGGAGCTTGAAATTTACCGTTCGTTTATTTAAAAGGTGCACTCGGTGCAGTTTCATTCGCGTTCTTTATTAGTTGTATTCCTTTCAAGAGCTTGAAACACTTGAGCTACTCGCTTCGGTGCTTAGTCGCCCCCGATTTGCAGAGAACATATGCGTGGTGCAACAAACACTTTTCGAAAGGAATAAGCGCGTGAAGCCCCGGAGCTGTTCCGCAGCTCCTCCTAGTTGTGAAAGGAATACAACTATTAAAAATTACTGGCACTCTGATACAACGTTCAACTGCTCTGTTCGCTCGCGAATCACATGATTACAGCTCTGCTCAGCTCGCTCTGCTCTTTGAGCAAAATAACGAACCCAAGGTGATATGCTACTAAACAATGAATTTATTCATTATAACAGTAGGCTGATTTGAAAATTAATTTTGGGTTCTTAATGAACACTCTGAGTGGAATACTCAGAGTGTTCCATGTGCAGACTGTTTTTGATTTGTTCAACTGTCCGAACTACTTTGACTGTTTTACTTCTGTCCATTTGCACTAACTCGATTTGAATTACTCTAATGGCGATTTCCATTTGTCAATCAGTGCGCACTGAGTGTATCCGCATCTTTTTCTAAAAGCATGTAACATGTAAGGATAAGGATACATTTTTTTTGTACTGGTTTGACAAATGGAAAACGCCATTTTTGAATTCCTTCCATTGTTCAAGTTACTCTACGTGTTCCAATTGCTTGAATTTCTGTTTCATTTGCATCAACTTCGTTTTGTTCGCACTGCTTTAATTGTTACTGTTCGAATTACCGTAATATGCCACTAATCAATGAATTTATTTACTCTACACCTTTTCCAGTTGTATTTCAGAAAGTGTCAAATGTATTTCAGAAAGTGTTAAATGTACCTATTTCAGAATTGCCAGATGCATTTCAGAAAGTGTTAAATGTATTTAAGAATAGTTAAATGTATTTGAGAAAGCGTTGAATGTATTTCAGAATAGTTAAATTTATTTCAGAAAGCGTCAAATGTATTTCAGAATAGCCAAAAGTATTTCAGAAAGTCAAAATTCGGCGGAAATAATGCAGGAGGGAGACGACACAAAAAATTACATACCTATGTTTGTGCAGTTTTTCCTACGTGAGCCCGACTGACCCAACAGGAGCTTAATAGTAGCATTTAACTATTTTGAAATTCATTTAACGCTTCCTGAAATACATTTGACTATTCTGAAATACATTCAACTATTCTGAAATACATTTGGCGCTTTCTGAAATACATTTAACTATTCTGAAATACATTTGACACTTTCTGAAATACATTCGACTATTGAACTACATTTGACACCTTCTGAAATACAATTGGAGAAGGTGTAGTAGTAGGCTGATTCGAAAATTAATTAATTTGGCATGTAATATTCAAAATTGAATTGTAGGGGACGCTCCTTTTCGCGCCACAATTTGAAAAGTTCCAAGTACAGAAGTGCCCTCTACAACGCAACTGTTAATAGGCAATTTTTCGCGAGGATAACCATTAACCAAGCATAATCTTTTGCTGGATTATGTGATACGTCAATTGTGTCATACTTCCCTAACTTCCCAACAAATTCTGGGATACTCGAGGATTAAGAACCCTTGATTTCTTCTGTGAAAACAGACCAAAAATCACCTTTTCTACATTTAAAATCGACGAAAAAATTAACTCATTAGCACAACCTGAATCGCCAAGCATATCATCAAGGTCTGCAGGTGACGTCATCACTATAAGCTGTTGATAGTGACGTCACTCGTAGGTCCAGAATTTGATTGAGAGGAATTAGGAGCATATGACACAATTGACACATCACATACCTTAGGATAATCAAAATATGCGTGATTATCATCGCCAAAGATTGTTTTATATTACATACCTACCATTCTACTTGTCGTGATCCCCTGATCAGAACAGTAAGAATGGTTAAAATTAGAAAAATGGTTAACGATACGGATATATCGATACCTACGTTCTCGGTCGATGTACATATCGATACGATTAAATGTTCAGATATCCATATTTTTTTCATCACAGAATTGAAGTCTTAGAGCAGATAAGACGCTGTCCTACGGACATAAGGAGTAGGAACGCGCTATTCTGCTACGAAACTAAAATGAAGCCGTTTTTTTCCAGGTATTTTGGCACCAAAAAAATGGCGGCATAGGAAATTCAATGCTTTACCTGCCAAAAACTTGACTTCACGTTTTTGGCAGGTGTTTGGCACCAAAATACAGGTAAAGCATACTCCTCTTTACCTTTACCTGCTCAAAAATTGAAGTGTAAACATAAGGTACACAAAAAAATAAGTAAATCGTATCGATATTTTCTCTAAAAAAATTATCGTATCGAGATCACTGATCTATCGAGATCAATATCGATAAACTTTTCTCAAAATTTGGCTCAAATTCTACTCGAGAAATAGAGCAGAGAAACTGTTTGCCTATTGAGCTGAATCAAAACCTGTTCGATGGATAGTAGTATTAGTGCAATAAAAATATATTTCTATCTGTTCCTCTCATAGACTAAAGAAAAAGATGCAAATAGACTCAGTACGTATTGAATTTATCATTTAATAGACCTATCTATTTTTACCTGTATGCGCGCGCAACACGAGGCAATGCATTTTTATTGGCTAACTAGTACAGGTGTGAAGTAATCCTTTTGCTCGCTGGGTATCTCCTTGTCTTTGTTCATTGCCTGTGGTCTGACAAGAATAAAATTATGCTTGATATTCAATTTGACGTAGCTTGACAAGTGATCAATTTTCAGTTGTTTGTGTTTTTGATTGACAAATACGTTGCACATCACGCGGTTTTCCTCCTTCCTTTTTTATCCCGCGCAAATAATAAGAACGGATTGCTATACGTAAGTCTAACATAATTTGGTACGTTTTGCCTCGTCTTGCGCAATAAGCGTTCTGCGTCTTTTTCTATCTAATAAAGTTTTCATATTATTACCTCTTTTTCTGGTAAAATAGATGATAGGTCTATTAACGCAATGAAATCAGTGCAACAATCAATTGACACTCGTTCCAAAGTGTCGGTTCGAACTTGCTCTAAAGCACTATTTATTGTGGCGCCCTCTATTATTAAACCATCAAACGTCAAAAAATTACAGTCGCCATCTGTAATTACAATGACGTTGAAACTCAGCAACGCCATGTTGAAAAATAAGGTTAGATTTATCAAAAAAAAGTGTCATGTTTATTGTTTTTCTCTTTAAATTTTAAAATCCCGGAAATTAAAATAAGCAAAAGTGAAAGTGCCTTAAAAACCATACAATTCTTGATCAAAGACAATATTTACTGGTGTTAGAAAGTTAAAGGATTCTTGTACAGGCTTGTAAATTGTAAAGAGAGTGCTTTCTTTCACAAAAACACAAAATTTGTTGAAAAATAGCAGTTTAAATACAGATAAGGGACTTTAATTTAAAAAGAAATGTTTAAAACAATAACATGTCATCAAGCAATCTACTTGAACAAAATTTAGAAAAGTGGTTACTATGTAAATCTAATTAATAAACAAAAGTCAAATAATTTTTGTTAATAGCTGCATTTTGAGGTAAGTTTTCACCATGATATCAATTTTAAATTCTTATTTTTGTTAATTTTTAGTATTTTTTGTCAACATGGACCCACTACCTCAAACAGTCTGTGATTTCTGGACAGATCTAATAGACAACTCCAGAAACTACCTAAAATATTACCTGTCCAATGATGTCACATTGGACTGGTTCGGACAAACTGTCAAAGGCCAAGCAAATGTTGCCAACTTCATCAAACTCCAAGTCAACCCCTTGAAACACCATTTGAACAAATGTCAGTCGACTGATAAAATCGGCTTCCGAGACACGCACAAAGTCGTGCTGGAAAGTTCGAGACCCACCACAAGACGAATGGCCTTGCTGAGCCCTCCTCGGCCTACCTTAATGCAAACACCTGAAAAACCCATCCAAGTGGCTTCAACCAGTAGAAAACGGCCAATGATTTCTCAGCCAAAGTTTGAAGAAAAACGCCCCAAACTTATCAAGGAATTAGACGCTAATGACAATATTGATGTTTTGGAAAATGAAAACGAATTTTCTGATAACCAGAGAGTCAAATATTTGACTAGCGAAGGTGAAATTGAGTTTCACAGGAGAAGTTTGAAAAAGTTGCAACCTGAAACCAAATGGAGGCGGCAATGCAAAGTGCACTTGGGCTACGAAGTTAATAATAATGACATCAAAGATAGTACTTTTTATTTGATTATCTATGAGGGCACTGTCAAGTGTAGAAGAAATTTGTTAAAGGATTTTGAACAAGAGGACTAAAATTCGATTTTATTGTTATGTAGATTTTAGGATTATGTAGTTGCTTCAACCTTAAACGTCGATTTTGCCTGAAAAGTAAATAATATCGACAACACTGTAAAATTGTTTGGCTCCAAGCTACTACCAGGGTGATACCTATACTTTAAAATTTTTGTTTATCTCGTTAGATTTAGATTATTTTTATATTTTGACACAAATTGAATAAAACATATATATTTTTGCAACAACAGGAACTTTTTCTTTTTATTTACAGTCGTTTTTTTAGTAAAATTGGCAACAGCGATATTACGGCAAAAACCGTCAACCACAAGAGGGAGCCACTTTTCCATGCCGAATCTTCTACTGTCATCAAGTGTAGCGTTTGGCCGCCTTGGATGGCAAAAAACGACGGTGGCGCCACACCTATAAAAGTCCCGACAGCGAATGGCACTAGCGGTACGCCAATGACAGGTGCCGTCAGATTAATAAACCAATTCGGCAACAGCGGCGTAATTCTCAAAAACACCATGTAGTTGAACAAGTTGTCCTTGTGCTGGTCGACTTTTTGTTTCCATTGCGACGCCTTCTCAGGAAAATATTTCAAAACCAGTCTGCGACCTAAAATTTGCGACAGCATGAAGCACAGTGTCGCCCCCAGCATGGAACACGTGCAAACTAAAATCAAGGCCACCGTGAATGGGAACAAGTATCCTGAGAGGATTGACAGAAATAGTGAGCCTGGAATTGCAAATGTTTGTAGACTGAGTTTTGTTAAGAATAATGTTTTGGTAATATCAAAGTGGGTTGCAAACAAGGATATTACACTCTACATAGGATAGCCTATCCTCATAAGGCCTGGATAGTTCAAATCTCAAGCCCACCACCTCGCCAAAGTAAAGAACCAGTCTTGACGTAGCAGGTGTTTGCACTTTGCACCATCGAGGCTGATGAGCAATCCTGTAGTAGTGAGTAATGAGGTAATATCTTTGGGTTATAAAAGGATACAAAATGTACGACAAAAATACTGCCGCCATTACGTGATAGTAATGGTTGGCTTTGTAACGATTCAGTACGATTCCTAATTGTTTCGCTTCTTCTATATTCCAAGGCATTTTGATATAATGGCTTTCTTCTCTGGAAAAAAAAAAAAAAAAACATGATTATGAAAACGCCTACATCGAACTACTCCCTGTGATCTAGAGTACACCGGAGTAAATGTCACTTACTCTGTCACGTGGGGGAATGATCCGTAAACAATAAGTAGGGCGCCCAGTGAGGCGATGAATATGAAAAATACTGATAAAATGGCATAGCGTGTCGATATATTATTATCTTCTCTACTTTTAGCTACAATAAAAAAAGTTTCAGTTAAATAAATTAATAGATTTTGAGAAGTTGAATATTTACCTTGAATTTGTTGTTGTTGCTGCTGGGGGGCGCTCATTTCTATTTGATTCTTTTTTGGTAAATCTTCCCTGTTAATTTTTCTCTATTTCACCCCCCAAATGAATAGTAAACAAAGTTTGGCGAAAAGCACACGTCAGTGTCAGCTGATTTTTAAAGCTTCATTTGATTGCCAACAGATGCCACCACTTAGTTCGTTCCGGATTGCGGACTGTATTTTACGAGTCGAAATTCGTATCGAATTGTCAAAATAGCGATTCTATTTTTCGATACGTATTACACTGTTTTTTCCAGGTATTTTGGTACCAAAAAAATGGCGGTATAAGTTTTTTACGTTATATTTAGGATGACGTCATATAACAAGGACAGTCAATGCCTATTTGTTTTCTTAAAATTCACCAGAATGTGATAATAATTATCAAGACCACTGACAGCTAAAAATAACGAAATTAATCGATACGCGTTATTTATTTTAAAATATTTGTAAAAATCATACAACGTCATGCGCTGTTGCCAACCGAAAACATCTGAAATTCCCCTTTTTTAAATGCGTCAAAAAGTACTTTTAGTTTTGTTAAGTTGATAGTAGAAATTTACTAGATGTGACGTCATCCTAACTCTAACGTAAAAATCCTATATGGGCAAATTCAATACTATACCTGTATTTGGTGCCAAAAACTTGGCTTCACTTTAGTTTCATACAGAATGGCGCGTTCCTACTCCTTATGTCCGTAGGACCGCGCTTACCTGCTCTAAGGTCATTACAGTGACTCTATTACCACAGTGGCGACAATTGCTGTCTTATTTTTGATTGGTTCTAAAATCCCATATATTTATATTGTAAACGCCGCCATCTTGTTCCCAGCCTCTTGTTACTTTTAAATATGAATATATGGGATTTAGGTGAACATTCATCATAAATCATGAAAATCAACGTATTTGATGGACCTAATAATGGTCATCAAATACGTCGATTTCAATTTTTTATGATAGATGTCCATTTAAATCCTATATATTGATATTTAAAAGTAACAAGAGGTTGGGAACAAGATGGCCGCGAGACCTCTATTGTCGCCACTGTGTGTAAAGGTTTATTAAGCCACTGTAAGGTCATAACAGACAATTCGAAATAATTCGGACAATTAAATAGATCTTCACTTGGAACAGTCGCAGTAGAAGTTCATTATTTAAGTAGCCTATTAGAGTAGTTTGAACAGTAACAATCAGAACAGTGCAAACAGAATAGAGTTAGTGCAAAGGAAATAAAAATAAAGGACCAAATTACAGTATATTTGCATCTGCAAATTTGCAGTTCTGCAAATATGGCCGACTTGCAGAAATGCTCTATTTGCAGAAACAAGCAAATTACAGAAAAAATCTGCAATTTCGTCATATTTATGGGAAAAAAGTGTTTGGGCGCTACTGATTTAGCAATTTTAAATGTCAAAGTTGTCAAAGTGATTTTAAAGGCTTGGGGGACCGTTTCACCATGCGCAAATTTGCAGGCAACCTGCAAATGCATTCTGCTTCTGTAATACGAAAAGTCAGACTTGCAGGTCCTGCATTTGTATCTTGGTGTTGCAGAGCTTTTTTAATTCCAGGCTAAAGCAATTGGAACACTTAGAGTAACTCGAACAACAGAAGAAATTCAAATAGAATTGATGCAGATAGAATGCTAGAGTAATTTAAATCGAGTTAGTGCAAATGGAACCGAGCTAAAACAGTCAAGGTAGTTCAGACAGTTGTACAGATCAACAAGAGTCAGTGCACTTGGAACAGTTAGAGTAGAATTACTAAAAACCCAAAATTAATTTTCAAATCAGCCTACTGTTATAGAAAATAAATTTATTGTTTGATAACATATTAAAGTAGTTCAAACGGTAACAATCGGAGCAGTGCAAACAAAACAGAGTAAGTGTAGATGAAACAGGAATTAATGCAATTGGAACACTTAGAGTAACTCGAACAATAGAAAAAATTCAATTAGAATGAATGCAAATGGAATGCTTAGAGTAATTTAAATCGAGTTAGTGCAAATAAAACCAGAATTAAAACAATCAAAGTAGTTCAGACAGTTGAACAGATCAAAAAGAGTCAATGCACCTGGAACAATCAGAGTTGAATTAGTAAAAACCCAAAATTAATTTTCAAACCAGTCTATTGTTATAGTGAATAAATTCATTGTTAAGTAGCATATTTATTTATTTATTTATTTATTTACGGGCAAGACCCATTAAAAGTTTCAAAAGAAAAAAACAACAAGAAACATCAAGTACCTTACAACTAAGTAAACATAGGCCAGTAATACTTGGCGTAGTAACAGGATAAAAATACATATAAATTATTAACAGTAAAACATTAAATCAGTTATAGGTATAAGAAAATAGAGGACAAACATAAATAATGACTGATCAAGATGACAAGAAATTCTTAGCTATCAAACTTGGTATCACAAACAAATAGAGTAGTTCGAACAGTAACAATCAGAACAGTGCAAATAGAACAGAGTTAGTGCAGATGGAACAGAAATTAAAGCAATTGGAACACTTAGGGTAACTTGAACAACAGAAGGAATTCAAATAAAGTAGATGGAATGCTAAAGTAATTCAAATCGAGTTAAGTGCAAATGGAACCGAACTAAAACAGTCAAGGTAGTTCGGACAGTTGAATAGATCAAAAAGAGTCAGTGCACTTAGAACAGTCAGAGTAGAATTACTAAAAGTTCAAAATTAATTTTCAAATCCTATTAAAATTACACTCGAGTATTTACGCGCCACAATAGTTGTATTCCTTTCACACCTAAAAGGAGCTCCGGGGCTTCACGCCCCTATTCCTTTCGAAAAGTGTTTGTTGCACCACGCATCTGTTCCCTGCAAATCGGGGGCGACTGAACACCGGAGCGAGTAGCTCGAGTGTTTCAAACTCTTGAAAGTAATACAACTAATGCAAAAAGCTCCAAGTACATAAGCGCCATCTACAACTTAACTTTGAATATTAAATTCCATTTGATAAATGATAAAACAGGCGTTCATTAGAAAATTAATGATCGTTACAGTAACGTTACGTCCTGATGAACGGCACCATCGATAGATGGCGTTGTATGCGTTTCATGAACATTTTTTATCATCGTGCGCATTTCCTGAATTTCCTATTGATTTTCCCGCCAGGGAAAAGTTGATTCATCCAAGATGGAAAAGCCGAGAAAAATTTCCCATCTAAAAAACCCCATGTGAAATTTCCTCTTGGAAAAATATGGCGTTTTCTAACGTAAAAACCCCTACAGCGCTGGAGCAACTGTTGGAGGAAATCAATTTCCAGCGAACCAAGGAAATGAGGCAGCTGTTGAAAGATGGTAAGTTATTTTTGACTGGTGAATTTAGTGAATTTAATCAAGGCGCTATATAGATTCAGGTTTTGTGATGTTACAAGGCACCACCTACTGGACGGACCTTTTTGTGCGCCATTTTCTATTTCAAAACGACTCGACCATCGACTGTGATGATTTGTTGTTTTTCGTCAGAAAAAAACACGTTAAAGGATCACCTAGATATTTACCAAAATTTGAGGTAGTAGGCTGTTGATAGCTGTCAGATGTCAGTAGTTGACATATGAATTTTTTTTGTAGACTGAAGTAGACGTGTTTCGTAAAGATAGCAAAAAACTACCGATAGGCGACCCGGACATCGACTGGGAAGAAACAGTCTATCTCAACCTTATCATACATCAATTCGAGTACACACTGACTTTGGCCATTTGTACGCGCACAAGTCCCAAAGAACTCCAAGTACTCAAACGTCATTCACAAAAAGTATACGCGTCGCCGAGCCGACGTCGCATGGACACCAAAGGCGACGTCGAAGAAATCACGTATCCGCACATTTGTTTTATGGTCGACAATTTTGACGAGGTGTTTCAGGACATTTTGGTGCGCGACGGCGAAATGGTGTGCGTCGAGCTGGTCGCCTCGGATAAACACGGCACGGTGCAGGGAGTGATTTTTTTGGGCTCGATCCGGTACGACGCTTTGAAAAAAGTCTACGACGCTAGAGTACGTATTTGATTGAGCTCTGTTTCTTAGTTCGATTATCCTAGGGACACTCTGTATCAAATGTCAAAACTAATCTAAAGTGACTCGATAAACTTTCACAAACAGTAACGACAATAAACGAAAATTTTGCAACAGCATGGCTCATTTGGTTTGTACAGGCGACGGCCATATTGTAAAGGTTTATGGAGTCACTATAAACTGATCTATAAAACTATACAAACAGTGGCCACAATAGGAAATTACGTCGCTATATAAGATTCTAGAGAAAAGTAACTGTAAACTGATCAATCACAAAATGCCATCTTATATCTCATTCAATAGGCAATTTTTCGCGAGGATAATAAAGCATAATCTGATTATGCTGGGTTATGTGATGTGTCAATTGTGTTATACTCCCCTAACTCCTTCCATCAAATTGTGGGCCTGCGAGTGACGTCATTATCAGCAACTTATAGTGATGACCAATGGTTTACTGAAGACAAATAGTCGCCGTCTTAGGTAACTTTGAGATTTTGACCTAAGTTGCCTTTCGTTTGATTATTTCTTAAATTTAGGTTGGTCAGATTTCAACTTCCCTCCTTGCCGATGGTAAGGTTACCGCTAAACAACCTTAAGTTAAGATTTCGATCTAACCTCAAAAAGAGAAAAATTTTGATGTTTTTGACAATTTTGATTGTGATTAAGAAACAATAATTACCAAAATCAAGGATTAATAATGTGGTAGAATTCAAAATGCGCCTAAACATCCCAGTATTTCCCATAAAACAAACCGATGAGGTTATGTTATCTCTTATCTTTGTCTTTTTTCTCAGGAAGTATTGGTGGTAACGGTAGGGTTCTTTTTAAAAAATTAGGTGCTTAGGTGAAATTTTTAGCTAATAGTTAGGCAAGGAGGGTGCTAAAACGAAAGCAGCTAATGTGAGTTCATTTTTAAAGTGATGACGTCACCCGCAGACCCCGATGGAATGCTTGCGATTCAGGCTGTGCTAGCGAGTTAATTTTTTCGTCGATTCTAAATGTAGAAAGGGTGATTTTCACAGAAGAAATTAAGTGTTCTTGATCCTCGAGTATCCCAAAATTTGATGGTGGGGAAGTTAGAGGAGTATGACACATCACATAATCCAGCATAAGATTATGCTTGGTTATCCTCGCGAAAAATCGCCTAAATAACAGTTTCGTATTTGTTATAGCAATCGAGTCTGGGTACAAAAATGGCACAAAGAATGACGTTCGGATTATTCTCGAACACTCCGGCGCAAAGATGCGAATTCGTCCGAATGAAAGGGCCACAGGGCAAAGGTCACGCAGAAATGGCAGTAACTAAACCAAAAGGCTCCGGAGTGGAAACGCCAACGTCTGAACCAGGTTACTGCGCAACCGACATGTGGGATTCCGATTGGGAGGTCAGTTTGACGTTGTTTATTATAGAAATATTCTTCAACTTGTTAGTTGTAGGACGACCAAGAAGACTTCTACCTCTACAGATCGCAACGTAGACTCAGCGATCCGAGCGCCAACATTAACAATTTCGTACGCGGCGGCTGGCGAACCAAGTTGGACGTCAAGGCGCGTTCCGAAAGCGAAGGCCTCGACAATTGGGACAATGGATTTAGCGAAATCGAAGCTGGAGATTTACGAGACGGTAAGACATTTTGATGCATGCTTGTTTGGGGGAAAAGGGGATGAAAATCTGGTATCAAGTAGAAGCAGGACCTAGTAGCACTAGTAGCTCGATTATGATGCGTATGGTTTGAATTTTGGCTGCAATTATCATTGTTGACAGATGTCATAATATGTCGTATGTCAAAATACTTGAATGTAGGCAATCTATGCACACAAGATTTACAATTGCCAAAATTCAAACGCTACACAAAAATTCCCCCAATGCATAGTAATTATTGTAATATTGTTACAGGCCTGTCTGGTCCTGCTTCTACAACAAGTACCACGAAAGGCTGTTGCGGCTGTTTTCAAAGGAGAAAACGCAATTCGATAATGCTGAACGAAATCGTGAGCCACCGACCGTCGTGCCGGTCGTCAAGCAATAACGTCACGCACTTGCTGAACCAATCGGATTACGAGGTGGGCAAAGAACGGGCGATCAACAAAAAAAAGAAGACCAAACCGGCGAGCAAAAAGTACAGCTCGGAGTTCGAGTTCGGCGACGATGCCATCGAGAACTTAGAACGGCAAAAACCGTTGATGATCGAAAAAAGTACCACTGAGAACCCGTACATGACAGTACGCGGGAAAGAGGAAATACCGGAAATCAATTACGTTACCGACAACGTCGAAACCGATGACATATCGATTGTGGATAACAATAAGAAAAAGACTGAAAACAATAACGTGAAAAACGGCAACAGGGCGAAAAATAACGTTTACGGTTATTGCACGTTGCCGAAACGCAAGCCACCCGGCAAAATTTTGATGGGGCCACCCAAACGGGTCACGCCTGATGGTACCACTATTTATTACTGGTGCGATTTGAGCCATAAGAAATTCGGTATTTATTTTTTACATTTGAGATATGTGAAACAAGGCCGATGGTTTACATGTCAACTTGACTGTAACGAATAAACATCAATATCTCTTTATCTTTTTTGATTTGGATGAGAGAGAAGAAGACAATTGAGATCGCAACGGAAATAATTAGACACTTTAATCAAATTCTAAATTTTTCCACGTATCCGTATCCGCATCCGTAAACGCATCGACTTACGTTGACCGCCTAAAAGTCCTTTTAAGCATGGCCATACATTACGTAAACGATCGTATCCTTAGATGAAACGTTTTCTAACCTCAAAAAGTACTGGGGTGCGATTTTCGAGACCATTCGAGTACATTTCGTACACGAAATTTGAGTGCTCCCCATTTAATTTACATTGCAGTCAGTCAAATTTCGTGTACGAAATGTACTCGAATGGTTTCGAAAATCGCACCCCTGGTTTATGTTGTTAAAGTTATTTAAGTGATAACTAAAGCCCATTTTACAATGGACCGTAAAGACGTAACATAAGTCCTAAGCATGCGCACATTAGATTTATTTGCGTCAAATATATTACTGAAAACGCAACGTAAGAGAAGATGAGAATAATTCAAATTTTGATTATTCTTGGCTTTTGATTGGATCTGAAATTCAAATTTCGAATATTCCCGGCTCATGATTGGTTTAGAAATTGAATTTTTGATTATTCCCGGCTCTTGATTAGCTTATTTTTGAATTTTCCCAGCTTCTGATTGGATTAAGAATTCAATTTTAAAATTTTCCCGGTTCTTGATTGGTTTAAAAATAGATTTTTCAAATTTTCCCAACTCTTAATTGGGTTTAAAATTCAAGTTTTAATCATTCCTGGCTTTTAATTGGGTTAAAAATCGAATTTTTGATCATTCCTGGCTCTTGATTGGTTTAGAAATTCAATTTTTGATTATTCCCGGCTTCTTGATTGGCCTCGAATTTCAAATTTTCCCGGCTCTTGATTGGTTTAGAAATTGAATTTTCGATTATTCCCGATTAGCTTCAAATTTTGAATATTCCCGGCTCTTGATTGGCTTAGAAATTCAGATTTTAAATATTTTTGGCTCTTGATTGGCTTCCAAAATCAATTTTTAAATTTTTCCGGCTCCTGATTGGGTTCAAAATTCAAATTTTAATTATTTTGATTGAATCTGAAATTCAAATTTTGAATATTCCCGGCTTCTTGATTGGCCTCGAATTTCAAATTTTCCCGGCTCATGATTGGTTTAGAAATTGAATTTTTGCTCTTGGCTCTTGATTGATTTCCAAAGTCAGTTTTTTAATTTTTCCGGCTCTTGATAGGATTTAAAATTCAAATTTTGATTATTCCTGGCCCTTGATTAGCTCTGGAATTCAAATTTTGAATATTCCTGGCTCTTGATTGGTCTGGAATTCAAATTTTGAATATTCCCAACTCATGATTGGTTTAGAAATTGAATTTTTAATCCTTCCTCTTGATTGGCTTCAAATTTTAAATATTCCCGGCCCTTGATTGGCTTAGAAATTCAAATTTTAAATATTCCCAGCTCTCGATTGGTTTTCAAAAACAATTTTCGAATTTTCCCCACTTTCGATTGGGTTTAAAATTCAAATTTTGATTACTCTCTTGATTGGCTCTGAAATTCAAATTTTCAATATTCCTTGCTCATGATTGGTTTAGAAATTGAATTTTTGATTATTACCGGCTTTTGGTTGGCTTAAAAATTCAAATTTTGATTATTCCCGGCTCTTGTATTGGCTCCGAAATTCAATTTTTGAATTTTCCCGGCTCCTGATTGGGTTTAAAATTCACATTCTGAATATTTCTGGCTCTTGATTGGCTCTGAAATTCAAATTTTAAATATTCCCGACTCATGAAACCAATCATGAGAAATTGAATTTTTGATTATTCTCGGCTTTTGATTGGCTTCAAATTTTGAATATTCCCGACTCTTGATTGGCCTAAAAATTCAAATTTTGAATATTTTTTGAATTTTCTCGGCTCTTGATTGGCTTCATATTTTGAATATTCTCGGCTCTTGATTGGTTTAGAAATTCAAATCTTAAATATTCCTAGTTCTTGATTGGCTTCCAAAGCCAATTTTTGAATTTTCCTGGCTCTTGATTGGGTTTAAAATTTCAATTTTATTTATTCTCGGCTCTTGATCGGGTTTAAAATTTGAATTTCTTACGGCTATTGCCACCGCTATAACTTAAGGGATATTTGATCCAAGTGGAGCTTTGAATGTGACTCTTGTAGAAACAAAAGTCACATTCAAAGCTCTACTTAGATTAAATATCCCTTAAGTGATAGTCGTGCAAATAGCCCTTAGCCAATCAAGAGCTGGAAATATTCACAATTTGAATTTCTAATCCAATCAAAAGTCGGGATTATTCAAAATTTGAAGCCAATCAAAAATTCAATTTTTAAACCAATCATGAGCCGGGAATATTAAAAATTTGGATTTCAGAACCAATCAAGAGCCAGGAATATTCAAAATTTGAATTTCTAAGCCAATCAAGAGTCGGGAAAATTCAAAAATTAATTTTGGAAGTTAATCAATAGCCGGGAATATTCAAAATTTGAATTTCAGAGCCAATCAAGAGCCAGGAATAATCAAAATTTGAATTTTAAACCCAATCAAGAACCGAGAAAATTCAAAAATTGACTTTGGAAGCGAATCAAGAGCCGGGAATATTTGAAATTTCAATTTCCAAACTATTCAAGAGTCGGGAATATTCAAAATTTGAAGCCAATCAAGAGCCGGGAAAAATCAAAAATTCAGTTTCTAAACCAATCATAAGCCGGGAATGTTTAAAATTTGAATTTTAAACCCAATCAAGAGCCGGGAACATTCAAAAATTAACTTTGGAAGCCAATCAAGAGCCGGGAATATTCAAAATTTGAATTTCTAAGCCAACCAAGACCCGGCAATGATTAAAAATTGAATTTCTAAACCATTCAAAAGCCGGGAATAATCAAAATTCAAATTCCGAAACCAATCAAAAGCCGGGAAAATGTAAAATTCGAATTCCAAACCCAACGGGAAACTAAATTTTTTTACCAAATGTTGCTACAAACGAATTCAATACATTTTCATATAACAAGTGTTGCGACATAAAATCTTACTCTAAAAACCCACTAAAAAAACTACCTCCAAAACGACTTGTTGCTACACTTTCGTTCGTGTTGCTACTTTTTCTTATGTTGCTACAAAAGTTCATTGAAATCTTGCTCTAAACCTACTAAAAACTACTCCCAACGATTGTGTTGCTACACTTTTTTTTTCGTGCTGCTACATAAGAAATTTAACAAACTCTTACCCTGAGCAAACTATCCCACAAATGACTTGTTGCTACACAAAACGAGTGTTGCTACACTTTTACTCAAGAAGTGTTGCTACATATCATGATCTTGTGCTGCTACACAAAGGAAGTGTTGCTACAAGAATAATTAATTTGAATCTTGCCCCAAACCTACTAACGAGTTGTTGCTACAGCAAATCTGGTATTGTTACAAAAATATTGCTACACGACGTGTGGCATGATTTACTTTACAAAGCGGCACGGCGACATCTCTTATGTTGCGTTTCCGGTGACATATTTGACGCAAATAAATCTAATGTGCGCATGCTTAGGACTTTTGTTACGTCTTTACGGTTACGTTACGTCCATTGTAAAATGGGCTTAACAAGGAGATCTCTCAATAGTGTCAAATGATTGAGATACGTTTCCGGATACGGATACGAGGCTAGGCCCGTAACGATACGGACAGCGCACAGCGCATGCGCAGATCGATGCGGATACGGATACGTTTGAAATTCAAGACTTGCTTAAAGTGTCTATTATCTCTATCCGTTACGGATTCCTATTCTCAAGAAAGTTCAAAAGTTTTGTAAATATTCTTATGTCTTGCATAGATTATCTACACTGCAAATTACATCTCACCAATTAACTATAACCAAAAACTGGAACGCGAACACATATTGACGAACGTGAAGCCTAGTGCCGCCGCTGCGGAGGGGATACCTGTTTTTGTCGCACTCATTATGTTAAATGGCGGAAATTGCTTCCAACACGTATTCCATTTGATGAAACCTGTGAAGGCAAATATGACAAAACTGTCCAAAACGTCATGTGTCAGCGAGCAACAGAAAAAAACAACATTCCCCTTTGTGGCTACATTTTTTTGGCAGATATAGCAATGTGTGCGCGTTCCAGTTTTTGGCTCATTGGTCATTGCATCTCACAGTTATTGATAACCCAGATTCTACATCTGTCATCTGTCAAATCATATGACATTAACAATCAATATTGTCGGCCATGTTTTAATTGAAAAAAAATAGCGTTTTTTTTTTTACCTTATAGCCTACTATGATTGAGTTGACAATTGACATTGTTTTTAGAATTGGGCGACGGAGCCTACAATCCCCTATGGACGATGCGCGGTTTTACGCAAACTTTTCACTTTTGGAAAGAAAACAAACGGGCACAATCGGTACCATTAAATGCCTTCCTCACCTACGTCACGTTGCCGTGGTGGAGCATAGCTAAGGGTGAGAATTAACCTTATCTTGAAAATGTCACATTACAAAGCCTACTTAGTAAATATTGACATTTGTGACATAGTTGCAAACTTTTTTTTATTTTTTATTTTAGATATTCTAGATCACAGAGAAGGTCCAATACTAACCTTTTAGCCAAATCGTACACATCGAAACGAACAAAAGGGATTGTGATTTTCCATTGTTGTTTACGAATAAAATTATTTTATTGGCATTTTTATTGTTTGACAATCGCCTACTATTGGTAGTACATTATTAAGATTTTAATTGTGTAAACCGTTAAATGACGATATACTTAAATTTGACGCGTTAGCTCTATTAATAGTCCAACAGCATGTGGTTAATATCCGCACAAATTGGGATTCCTTATCTAAACAAAAATAAACAAAAAGCCGCAAATCTGGCTGACGCGGCTCCTCAGAAGTTGGTAAAGTTTCGAACGCGACTAGACGAAAAAAAAAAAATGTCGACCGTATTTATCGGGATTTTAGTGCTTTTTGTGACGACGATACGGTGCGACGACCACACAAAGCGATGCGTAAACAGGTGTCTCCAAACCAAAAACAACAATCTGGATATTTATTTGGAATACAAAAAGGCCGTACTGCAAGTGCCCATGATGATGACGTCACCGCCCTCGTTACCAGGTAATACATTGGAACGTCATTTACGTCATTTAGTTACAACTGACGGTGAGAAAAAAATAATTGCGAAAAATAAATGTTAATTTTTTTATTGTTTTGTTTCAGCAGCAGTGTCGTTGAGAGACTTTCAAGTGGAACCAGTCGAAGGTAATTTTTTTGGTATGTCTATATACATGATGTTGCAATTTATTAGTCATAATGCAATTTACATACTCACCCTATGACGATTTACAATGTTGCCAACTATTTTCCAGAAAGTTGCAGCTCATTTAACTTCAACAAAACTCGCAACAACATCAAATGCAAACCTCGCCCTTTTATACTAGACGTAGTCTCTTCTCAAGGCAAAGTAAGTCCAAATACAATAATTCGATATTCAATTAATAAACTATTTAAAAGGTATTCCCAGACAAAATCCTGACCAAACAGTGCGCGGGCTTTTGCACCGGAAACAAACGATGCGCGCCGACGAAAACCGTCAACGTTTCAACGTCAGTTCAAATTCTGTTGGCCGACAGGCGCGTGCGCTGTTCCACCATTTTGGTACCGCGCGACGTCAAATGCAAATGTCAATGCGCCACTTCGAGGATGGACTGCAATCGAAATCAGGCGTTCGACAGAAATAGTTGCGTTTGCGCTTGTACTAACAAGGTAATTGAACTGTCAATAATAATATTAACTGTCAATTATTAATTATGGATTAAAGACGTTTAACCGGTCGATCACAGTTGACAGATAACCAATAAAGCAAACGTCATTTACCAACCAATCGGTATTAAATGACGTTAAATACTAGTCTAAGTATTAGCCAATTTTAAGCGATTGACCAAGGATGATACAGAATACTATTACATGATTACCAATCCTCATAAGGCCTGCGTGGAACAAATCCCCCTCCGCCCCCACCAAATTACCAGTTGTGACGTAGGCAGCATGTTATTTCTTGTCTTGACGCAGGCTGTTTAAATAGCGAATGACTTTTAGTTATGGAAATGGTTACACACATATGGCGGCGCTTGCCAAAAACGAGGCCGATATGCAATCCTGTCGGTGTGTATCATCCTTGGGTCATCTTGATAGATAAGCAATGCATTTAACGTCAGTTAAGACCAAATGGTTGACAAATGACGTTCAATTAATGGTGTATCTGTCAAGATGACCAATCAGTCAATCGCTTGAAATTGGATATTGTTCATTTGTCAATATAATTGACTGGTTAATCATCTTTAATGACATGTAAGTTTAAAAGTTGAGTTGTAGATGGCGCTTGGAGCTTCCTACATTTATTACCGAAATACACTTAGCCCTGTTGTACAATCCTGGTTCACAGTGTTGCCAGATCTCACGATTATTCGTAAGATTACACGATTTTGGTCAGATTTTCACGATCTCACGAATGAGGTAGCAATTCTTACGAATTCTCTCTGTAGTAATAAAAATCAGTAATCAAATATAATATAATTGGAAATAATCGAAATAAAAATCCACTATACAATATTTAGTTATGTTACGCCGCTCCTGGTAGGTACCATCGTCACCAAAAGTAACTGGGACAGCATCACATTAGCTCTTGTCCTATTATATGAATTTTATTGTCAAATATTTGTCAAACTATGCATACATGCATTAAAATGAATATTAGAATGAGTCCAGGAGATTATTATGCATTATTTGTGTCCCAGTTACTTTTGGTGACGATGGTACATGCGCGCCCAACAACACTTAACCTAATAGCACGGCATATACAAAAACAATCAGCGTTAAATCTCATTGTACTGCCATTTAACGATAGGCTGTATCCAAGGTTGTTTGAGAGAGGTAGGCTGCCTGATAACTTTTGTGACGTCATCTGTATGCCTAAACATAATGCAAAATCTTCATAAGGCACCCCGGATGCGTCATCAAGTTATCCGTTACCAGACAACCTATTACCTTTAGGAACCTTGGGCTGTATCCTCGAATGGCGGCGTCCGCAGAAGAGATGCGCGATGCGCGTGAGAGTTATCTGCTGTTTGTTTTTGAGTTTTTGTACGTATATACTGTGCTAATGGTACTGCTCTGCTTATTGAGCTGAAAGTGTCCACGAGACCCCACTATTTCTGACGTCAACTACAGACCCAACTATTGGCAGAAAATGCATTACCCGAGTCCAAAAAACGAATTTATAAACGTTGAAATCGCCTTTTCTAAATTTAAAATTCCCAAAAAAATTAACTCGCAAGCACAGCCTGAATCGCAAGCAATCCACCAAAGCATGCGGGTGACGTTGCCACGATCAGCTGCTCATAATGGTGACGTCACTCGCAGACCAGCTGCCGACTCGAGAATTGGCGAACGTAAGCCTTATTAGGATAAGCAATCCTGCGGATAATGAACATGAGGTTCAGCTCTCAGAAACACCTGCTAAACTATGGATGTAAAATCATGTCTACTTTATCAAAAATCTATAAAAGAACATTGTTGTGCATTATTTTCTTACAAGCAATTTTAAGTTTCACGATTTTTCACGATTTTCTTTTCTCGATTCTCACGAATTTTTTTTATTTCATCTGGCAACACTGCTGGTTCAAAATAGAGTTCAGCTGAACTCGACTGGTACTTGAACCTACCCATTTGAAATGCATTGCTGTCAAAATTGATAGGATTTGATTAATAGCTGACAGCAATGTATTTTAAATGGGGTAGCTCAACTACCAGTCGAGTTCAGTTTAACTTTGTTTTGAACCGAGATTGTACAACTAGGCCTTAATGGGTATTGAATCTACTAATCGGAAACGCCATGGCTATGTTCCGATATCAACTGCCAGTACTGGATTTACTGTGCTGATTTTAGTGATTTTACTGTCATTTGCCGTTCCAATTTCAACAGCGTATTGGTTTTGCTGGAAAAAAATGTACAGTTTTCAGCACTAGCAGCACTGTCCTATCAACGATCATGACAACAACGAAGAACGTTAAACCACAAAAGAAAAGTCCTTGGCTTTTTGGCTACAGTCGATCCAGTAAATATTAATGACGTCACTGGCGCATTCAAGACGTCATTCAGTACTGACACCCGTATGGACTTAGGAGTTTAATCTGGTTTAAGTTCATACGGTGCATTTGGACATGAATCAGTGTGAGCACTTTCCAAATTTCACCCATAAATTCAACGGTTGAATAAACCGGTAGCTGTCAAAAAAATTCTGGTAAAAGTTAGGTGAAAGTCCGGTTACAAGATTTTTCTGATGCATTTAGGAACGCTCTGGTGTGTATTGGGTGGTGAGCCAGTTTTACAATAGGAAAAATCGGGTGTCTCATTTTCAATGCCCGCGACTCTACGTCAACAAAAAATGTCAAAAAATCTCCAACCGAAAAAACCGACAAAAATTTCCGGTGGATCTGGTGCCTCACCGGTTCCAAACAGGTTGATCTGGTTGATCATTATGTTCAATTTTGGAACAGACGAACTGGTTGAACCGGTAAAAAGTCGGTACATTTTGAAACGGTTCGTTGAGTAAACTATTAAACCGGTATCGTACTGGGTCAGAAACCAGTGAATTTTGAAAAGTGCCCTATACTGAAAATAATATTAAAAAAAAAACGGCGTCCAGTGAATTCAGTACTGACAACTGATATCAGAACATATCCCATGAGTTCGTCTTGAAACACTGGCCAGTTTCACAAAAAGTGGTAATCTGATGGTAACCACAAGACACTGGTACCTTACAATATACTTGTTTCATAATAGGTGATTTACTCAAAACATTGGTCAAGAGTCAAGCTTCAGAATATTCAATGTAGTCAACCTGCAACTATGAGTTTGATAACCAGTGTAAAGTGTAGGTTAAATTGTGAAACTGGGCTTTAGCGCTCAAAGCATCTGCCATCTTTTTTTCTTTTAATGAGAAGAACAGGGATACAAAAACAATATAGTAGCTCCGCAAGAGTTTCGTTATGTTAAGGCCGTTACACACGGATTTGCATAACGCATAAGCATAAATTCCAACCAATCAGAAATTGTATTAAAGATCACCTGACTTCCCAGTGACAATAAGGTAACAACCTTTGATTGGTTTGAGCATGCTTATGCGTTCATCAAAAGTTTCTATTTTGGCCACAATCTACACTTTGTATGAAAGAATTCCAGGGCTAGGACTCTATACCGAATATCAATTGATATCTCTATTGATTTCAATCCGAGAGACGAAGACAGAGAGTGCAATTGCGAAGAAAATAACGATTCCTATCTCTTGTACTAAAATGATAAAATTTCAGGACCTCGCACACCTCTTATGGGTATTTGGTTTTCTGTCAAACTCAATGAAATTTTGATGTGTTGGACCTTGACTTCCTGATAAACAGTTCTCATGGGCCCGAATCAATCCTATGACTAGTTTTTGAGATCCAGATAGTTTAAGGTCCAATAAATGTACAGTAAAAATCATTGCAATTGGCACACACCATATAAACATTCCCCGTAATGTCAATATCGTGTCACATTGATGAATCAATGGGCACGTTCAGCAGGGCTCAGCATGTTGAGTGATTAGTCAGCGACTTTGATCCAATAAGAGAAATACAGTTTTGATTGGCCAAAAGTCGAGTTTCATCTGTTTTCAACAAATTCGCTGACTAATCACTCAATATGTTAAGTTCGGCTGAACGTGACCAATGGTGAACATAATAGTACACCGTTGCACTGAATAGATTTATTGGTTAGACTTTTGACTTTATATGAGGGTTGTTAAAAGAGTATAGTATGTACCAATTGCAATGATTCCCACTGCATGCATTTACCTTGGCCAAACATAAAACTGGTAAGCATTTTCCTATTGTGTTATTTTGTGTAAATCGACCTTTTTAAACACCTCAAAAATGCCAAAAAGAGTCAAGTCAGTGTCATCTTTGAACCAAACATAACATAAAAACATGTTGCATTTACTTTTGTTCAACTTTGGCATTGACAAAAACTCTCTGATCTAAGTTTTTTAGAAGAGACTTTTTGTTATTAAGCCTGATTCACACTAGGTAAATTTGAAAAATACAAAATCTGTTTTTTTTTAAAAGATAATTCCCCAAGTCAAAAATTTAGTAACTATGTTGGCAATACAAGCCTTTTCTACATAAAAAATTTGGAAGTATTGACAATTTTACATTGTATTGCCAACAAAATGTCATTTTGACTTTTATCTTTAAAAAAAAAACAGACTTTATATTGCCTGTACCAGTTTTATGTTTGGCCAAGTGTATATCTACTTGTCACCTGAGCGTGAGGATACCTACTATCTATCTTGGTATATTATTAGGTTGTATTAACGGTAAATGCATATAAAATATGTACATTTCTTGGATATTAAAGGACCTGTATCTCAAAAACTAATCATAATCATAGGATTGGTTGGGGCCAATGAGAACATTTTATCAAGAAGTCAAGGTCTAAAGCTTAATTCTCACTTGCGCCAAATTCGCTCCTTTTTGACATTGCTTCGAAAATTTGACGTTTGATACACGCAGAAAACGTCAACTTGTCGAAGCAATGTTAAAAAGAGAGCAAATTTCGCACAAAAAAAGCGAATTTCGCGCAAGTGAGAATGAGGCATAACACATATCAAAATTTCATTGAGTTTGACAGAAAACCAAATTCCCATAAAAGGTGTGCAAAGTCAAAAATAAAATAAAGTAGCTACCTACAGGATTTCAGCCCATTTTGTCTTTGATTAGATTACATCTCAAAAAAGTTTCAACAATCAATTATTTACTCTAGTCAATTTTTGAATATTCCTGGTTATTGTTCCTGGCTCTTGATTAGCATTTCATGAATTATATTTTTTTCAAAATACCATGGCACCATCTGTTAATGAGATACATATTAATCGATTACAGTTTTCTTCAATTTGTATCTTGTTTCAGAACGAAGAAAAACACTGCTACACGAAAATCGAAAAGTTCAGATTGCACATGTGGGACCCCAAGACTTGCTCGTGCGTCTGTAGAACGGAACAGCCGTGTTCCACAGGCAAAATTTGGGACAAAATTTTGTGCAGGTGCTCGAAAAAAACTTGAAAAACGAACCGAATCGATATGGAACTTAGGAGATAGAAGTTTAGGAATTTAATGGCGATTTCGATTTTTGACTTTTAAAATATGTCAACTGTCAAAAAAATACAATCAAATCGAAATCGCCATTAGTTGGCCAAGCAACAGGTTGGCCAAAATAGCAATAACATGATATTTTGGACACCCTGTAAAATAGCCTCCTATGATTACAAATTGATTTTTAAAATACAAATAAAAATGTTGTAGATAAAATTTTATTCTTATCTAATACAAATAAATAACCTGTTTGCCTACCTCTATCAATTTGTCAGCACTGCTAACTTTTATCGAGGATTTTTCCAGATCTACTTTGAAAATAGCATTTTCAGGAATTAGATGTTTGCCTTTCAAAGGTTCCTCAAACGATGGCATTGTTACAGGGCCTAACGTTGGATCTTCGTAATGATAAAGTTGAATTTTTTCTGGTTCTAAAAATAAATAAATTAATAAAACCCTGGACTGCCATCTTCTTCTCTCTTATAGAAATCAATAGAGAGGGCACGCCAATAGAGATATTGATAGCTATTCGTTACAGAATCCCAGTCCTGAAAATTATACTCACTTTTAATCTGTTTATAATTTTTGGCCAACTTTTCCACAACTTTCCGCCATGAGTCGCCGTCACTGATCAAAATCCGACTGGAAAACAAACCAGTGCCTGGCAGAGGATTGACAAATTCCAATTTAACCCCTGGTTTAGTTGAAAACAACACAAACGGCGCCCCTGGACAGCACTCTTTCATTTTTTCATTGGCTTCCGGATCGTCTGTGAATTTTATTATCACATCATCGACCTAAATATAAATTACATTAAACTAAAAGTTTTTTACAATAATTATTATTCTTACATCTAAGGACTTTGCCAAATACACAGAATTACTTTTCAGAATTTCACTTTCATCAAATTCCAATGTCAAAGACAAAGCCTTAAGTCCCAACTTATCGACTTTCTCCCTTGTGGCCTGCACAAAAGGCATTACACGCTTCATATATTTTTTAAGCTCACTCTTCTTTGCAAACTCCCCAGACAAAGTCTTATTGTCAGGCAATTGACCATTTTTCTTAAAACATTCTTGCAACACTGTCAAAATACAATGCTGCCAAGTAGGGAAAGTTTTAGCAACAAATACGGTGCACCGGTTGGGTTTTTCTTGACGCTTATTGGCCAAATAGGTTTTTAAATGGACTCTAAAAGAGTGCGCACACTCCATCAAGTATTCGGACGCTTTAATCTCTGATTGGTTAATAGGGCCAACAGTGGGCCAATGAGCTTTTAGGATGCTCGACTCGTTACCCAACAGTTGCCAGACTTTTTCCGAAACGTGCGGGCAAATGGGCGATAAAATTAGAGCTTGGATTTCAATGAATTTTAGGATGAGGTCTTGGTGCATGCCTTCTAACAGGCATAGCTCTCTGTACTTGTCTCTGGCTGCTTGAAGTTCAAAAAACCCTGTTCGTAAGGCTTCTTTGAATAACATTTTTTGATAATAGTCGTCTGTTTCTTGGATTTTTAGGTTCATTTCGCTTTGGAATACTTTGTCGTTGAAAGTGTAATTTTTGTCGGATCTGAAACAGAAGTGATGGACATTGAATTGGATATACAGACAGGACCAAGCTACTAGACACATAAGCTCCAATATTATAACCAGTTGACTTATACTCGCTTCGACAGCACCATCTTGATTCACCTAAACTGGTATGAGCTAATTTGTCTCTATGTGTCTAGTAGGTTAGTCAGGTTTGTAAAATAGAGACACATCAGTCTATTTTTGCTGATCTCCATTGTACAGGGTGGTCCAGTTTAATAGGAAACGTCAATTTCTCAGAGAAATACAAAAGAAACCCCCACTCTGAGACTCAAATTTCATGAAATTTTGATTGGTGCAAACAGCATCTTGATATTTTCAACCGATTCTTGACGCTGTTGCTGAAAATCGAGAAACGCCTTTAGCAGGTTGAAAATATCAAAACGCGGTTTGCGCAAATGAAACTTGAGCCTCAGATTGGGGGGGGGTTGATCAATCATTCTTTGGAATGTAAAGAGAGGATTTTTGGAGTCCAAAAGGCATACGCGAATACTCAAAATTGTGACAGTAAACTAAATTTAGTTAACATTTCTCACCTCAAATCATTTTTGTTTTTCAAAATCTCCTTGACCCACTCCATAAAAGTATAAAGCCTCAAAATCCCAGCATCGGCAGTAGCTTCGACAAAGTTCGCATCCTCAATCGAGTCGCCAGCGTCAGCCAAGCAAAGCCTCATTCCGTCAGCACTAAACTTCTTCAAGGCTTCATCCAAAGTCAAAAAATTACCATCGCTTTTGCTCATTTTGGCCGAATTTAGGAGCAAATGCCCATTGGCGCGAATCCCCAAAGGCCATTTCGATTCGTCCTCAGGCCAAATGGCGCAATGATTATACAAAAAATACATCAAATGGTTTTGAATTAAGTCTTTGCCTGAACATCTCACATCGACCGGATACCAAAACTCAAACTCTTGCCTCATCAAATCCAAGGCCTCTTTTTTAATACCACAATTTGCCGGATATTTCTGTTCAGAGAAAAATATGTAATCCCAAACTTCTGGAGTGAGTTGTTCTGGTTTGATGCCCAACTTGTTAGGTTTATCGCCTTTAAAGGTCCCCCCTTGAAGTAAATGAGCTACAGTGTAGTAGGCGTTGTAAATTGTAGAGTCCGACAAAGATTCGATGAGCCATTTCTGGTCCCAAGGAAGTTTTGTGCCTAAACCGTAAGTCCTTGAGCATGCGTACTCGTGCAACCAATTAACGCAGCTAATGAAGTTTTTGCGCACTTCTTCGTGAAACATGTTAACGTTGTCCATGGCCTTGAAGACTTGCTTTTTCCAGTTGGATTCGCCGTAGTCTAAATACCATTGGTCGCAAAGAGCTACGACGCATTCATCTCCCGATCTACTCATGATTAGTTTTTCAGGCTCATAATAAACTACAGCCTCGTTATTGTCGCAAAGGCTTTTTTGGATCAGTTTTTTCATGTCTTGGACTTTTTGGCCTTTATAGTCACCCACCAGCATGACTCCATCATAGAAGCCTTTGAGGTAGACCATTTCTTTTGCCTGTGTTAGTTTGTCTTTGTCGTTTTGGCTTTGGATTTTCAGTTGGTCGTACAAAGTGACTGCAGCCAAGTTTCCAAAATCAGGGATGTTTAAAATCGGTACTGGATCGTACGGAAGGACCATGAAGTCGGCGATAGAGTATTTTTCACGGAATGCCTAAAAGAAGAACAAACATTTAGTTGGTACGTAAATTTCGAGTACAAGTACCAAGGAAAATTCATCTTTTATTAAACAAAAATAGCAAATCCAATGTACTATTCTAAACCAATTCTTACCTGTTTCTTTTTCAAATCCATCAAAGCAGCATAATCGTCAGGCGAATCGGAAGGCACACTGGTAACCACCCCAGTACCCTTATTATCCTTAATAGTCAACATTGGAAGGGCGTAAATTTTTTCATAGCTCGTCAAGGGAGCCTTAAGGGCACATCCCAACAAAGCCTGCCCAGTAATTTCCAGCAAAACCTCAACTTGCCCTTCAGTTTTAGTAAACCCTTGATAGCTCATATTTCTAGCAGATCTTGCAGTGCAAATGAAAATTTCGGAATTTTTTGTTTCAAAAGCGATATATTTTATGTCGGGGTGGAGCCAACAGTTGGTTTGGCCGTACATAGTTTCAGGCCTAAGAGTGGCTGCTACTAAATAAACAGGTTTTGAGGCAAAAACTGGAGACACAGGATCTAGGACTTGCATTTTAATTAGAGTGTATTCTTGAGGCCCGGCGCCTTCACCACTAGATCTGTCGTGATCCATACAAGGTTGACCGTCTTTAGGTGAAAAAATTGAGTATCTTTTACCAAATTTGATTTTGTTGCGGTCTTTTAATCTTAAAAAGGACCAACGTACAAATGAATCGAAAAATGGGTTTTTGTCTGTTGTTATAAAGGTGCGTCTCCAGTCTACGTGAATACCGAAAGCGTTTAAGTCTTGAACAGCCAAGGGAGGGAAAAAATCAAGCCAATGATTGGCATCAGCAAAATGTTGGATTTCTTTGTCGCTTAAGCCTAAACTTTGCATTATTTGCCATTGATATTTTGCAGTGCCTGCTTTGGCTACTGCCTTGCTTTTTTTGCCTTTGCTTTTGTCTTTTGGCACTGCATCAGTGTCTTCATTTTCAACTGTAACAGTTTCATTTTGAGGAAAATTAGGTGGATTACCATACAATTCAATTTCGCGTTTTAATTTATCTGCACAAGCCTTAATAGGCATTCCAGTACAATGAAATCCGAAAGGAAACAAGGCTTGTTTGCCTTTTAATCTTTGATAACGTACAGCGAATTCGCATTTTGATAGAGAAAACGTATGGCCTAAATGCAAACGACCGTTCATATAAGGAAACGGAAATGTGCACAAGTATTTCTCATTGTTGGATTTTTTGGGGGTTGTTGGGGCATCAAACTCGAAGATTTTTTCGTTTTTCCATCGCAGCTGCACTTCCTGCTCGATTTGCTGCAGGTATTCTACTTTGAAGGTGCCCTTACGTTCACTGGCCTTCAAGATAAATGTATTTTAATAGGGAATTCAATTGAACTAATTTAAATTACTTACCATTGTGCGAGCCATTGCGAAAATTGCATTTAAATTTTAAAGGGGCTCACATAGGGTGTACACGTAAACACATAACCTCACTTGACACGGGCACTGGGGTAACTAGAGTAATGAAGGAGTACTCCAGAGCTGTTTCGAAGTGGATCAAGTGGGATGATAATGTCGGATTGAGGGCAACAAGGGTAAAGAATAGTAAAAATTAGGAACCATTTGCTAGAGCAAAATAATCAGTACAGTTTTGTGTTCGCAAGTCAATTAGAATGGGTTTTCTAAACTAGTTCTACAATCAAACAATTTCTTGATTTGGAATGTGATCCGTGACTTCGCGACTAATGGCGGGTATTATAAAACTGCTTTGACAGTTAACTTGAAGTTAACTTTTTGAATTACATGGAATTCCAGGACTCAACCTAAAGTTAACTCCCAAAGTAGTTTTATAATACCCGCCCTAAAGCTAATATACCTTCATTTTTTCAGCACCTTATTACTACAGAGCATAACCACTCTAAAAGGAGAATTGGTGCACGAGTGAGCGTGAGATTTTTCAGAAACGAGTAGTTCTAATGCTCTTTAGAGCTGCTGCTCCGGAGTGGTTCGAGTAAGTTTCCACCAATGTAATTCAAAATTCAAATAAATGCAGCTTTGATATATTTTTTAATTTTCTCTCTATTTAAACAAGGTAGAAGTCGCAATTATTTAAAATCTTCTCCAAATGTTTCGTTTAAAGTAAGAATTAAAAATCGATTCGGAACTATTCGTAAGAACAGAACAGTTATAGTTACAGTTCACGGTTTAATTTAAATCGAGTCTGAACTAGTTCTAGCAAAATCGAATAGTTCAAGTGATAACCACTCCAGAGCTGCTCCGGACTAATTCTAGTAGGTTTCTACTGAGAGTTAAATTGGAAATTAGTTCAGACTTCAGAGTAACGAATTTAAATCAATTACAGATCGCGATTCAATTAAAAACGATTCTGAACTAGTTATAGGAATTTAACTTGGTTCGATGGTGAATAAAGTTAAATTATCTTGGAAAATCTAAATATTTCATCTTGAAACTTGATATCTAACTTGACAGTTACAAAATTGTTTGCCATAGTTGTATTCCTTTCAAGAGTTTGAAACACTCGAGCTACTCGCTCCGGTGTTTAGTAGCCCCCGATTTGCAGGGAAACAGATGCGTGGTGCAACAAACACTTTTCGAAAGGAATAAGCGCGTGAAGCCCTGGAGCTGTTCCAGAGGCCTTATTCTGTAAAGAACGAATCGTTCGATTCGGTAGAATTTCTTCGATTGTGACGTCATTTTTGGTGTGCTAGCGCGGAAGCTATTCCGAAAATGCCGAAAATGACGTCACAATCGAAGAAATTCTACCGAATCGAACGGTTCGTTCTTTACAGAATAATGCCCCTGAGCTCCTCCTACGTGTGAAAGGAATACAACTATAGTGATAGCAAGTAATACTTACCTATAACATGAAGTTGCATGCGTTTGCAAATAGTATTATTTGACACCAACTTTGAATTTAACCGGAGATTAGGGGAGCGGGTAGGAATGGCGCTCAGTGGGGAATGATGCTCACCTCATTTCTACCTTAACCCAGTCGAATTTACTATTCCGCTTGACGTCATCCCCCCTTTTTAGCCCTCCGAACTAATCGCCGCCATTCCTGTTTCGATATCTGGCGTCAAGCGGCGGTTTTGATAAAAAAAAGTGTAGTTTGACGATTTCAATCTAATATTTGTGTTTCGGAAATCTAGAGGTAAGTTGAAATAACGTTATTTTGGGGTATTGTACCATTTATTAATTCGATGGGGCATGTCTTGGGAGTAGTTTAGTATAAACATCGTTGATTTATTTGCACCTAAAAAAAGTATATCGCCATTTTTGTTAAAAATTGAAGTTTGGGGCAATTCCGCTCAGGTTGAGCGTGATTACCCCGTTACCGAGCGCCGTTGCCCCTATGGATATATCTATAATAACTGGAATTTTTAATCATGGATTAAATTTAAAGTTATGGCGTTTCCGATTGGTAGATTCAGTGCGCACTGAGTGTATTTGCATCCTTTTAATCGACCTGTAGAAGAAAAAGACAGGAATAGAAAAAATTGCACTAGTTCTGCACTAGATCTACCAATCGGAAACGCCATTAGTGTCAAATGACAGTTCATAAAAATCTAAGATGGGAATGTAAAATCGGTTTTTGTCCAAAATTAACCGTCTATGTTTTACAGCCTGTCAAAATGTCTATGCTGTCAAAGTTGCAAAAAGTCAATTTTCAACTGTCAATATTTCCAACTGTCAATATTTCCAAAACAGTTGAACTTAGGTATAGGGTATATCACATGAAATCTGATCAGAATTTTACGTAGAATCCAAATATGCAATCACATACAGGGTGTTCCATTTAAAAAAACAAAGCTCAGTCACATACCCCTTAAACGGAGCACCCTGTATATTCAAAAATATTTTTAACTAATGCATATAAGTATAGTAGTATTAGTATTAAACAACTTTGTAATTTAACTTTTTTTTCTTACATCACCCTGTAAGCAGATATCGTCCGATATCGCAAGACAAATCATCAGTTGTGACGTAGCAGCATGTTATTTCTCCCCTTGACGTAGGCTGTTTTAACAGCTGACAGCTTAGTTATGACGTCGGAAATGGTGACACACCATTATGGCGGCGATTACCAAAAACGAAGCCGATAAGCAATCTTGTAGGTATGTATCATCCTTGCAAACACCTTACGTCCAGACGAGAAATGACATGCTGCTACGTCATCACTAGTACTTTGGCTTGAGGTAGCGGGCTTGAGATTTGAACTACACAGTCCTTATGAGGATAAGCTATCTGGTATAGTAGTAATGTGTACTATTTTTACAAACATCATACGTCAAAGCGAAAAATGACATGCTGTCTTCGTCATCACTGATGCTTTGGCATGATGGGGTGCTTGAGATTCGAACCATACTAATCTAAAAACAAATAAAGTACGTTTTGCTATTGATTTCAACTGGTGTGCTCTTGTTTGGTTTAAAATGGCTCTCGAAGCACTTCCGCAAAAATCTGTGACATCATTTACTCTCAACGAAAATGTTATAACGTTGTTCGTGGAACACAATTTCGAACCAATTTGGGACTAATTCAGGATTAGCATAGAGCGTATACCCGATTATGAACCAGTTTTAAAGCAACCCGAACTGGTTCAGAGCAATTTTGGATTTTCGTAGAGTATTTTGTTTATTTTGATATGAATCAGTTACGTCTATTTGGAACAATTTTATTGATAACGATTTCGTAAAAAGAAGTTAGTTTAGACTCCTCGGAACAGAGGGCTTAGAACAGATAGAGCCAGCGACTAAAATAAAAAAATATACTTTTGTGCGAATAAAGATAGAACATAATATACCTGATGATGGAGATCTCGGAAACAAAACGTAAGCAACAAAAACGGATTTCAGATTTATGATTCGCGACTAAAAATATACCTTGGATAATTACTTACCTCTTATTTTACTCTGAACGAATTTGGAACAAAAATGAAAACTCTGAACTCTTTTCGGAACCGATTCTAGTTCGACCGCCAATAAAGTACTCTTGATCAAAGGGCAATTCGAACCAGATTCAGATGTTCGGCTTATAATGGAGCGTTGCTCCCGGCGAGATTTACTTGTTCGCCTTGAGTAATAGAATGCTCTCAAATCTCGCACGGAGCGCTTTATCTTGCTCTGAATTCGATGGATTAAAGAGTTTGATCGAAACAATAAAGCATAAGTACGTTCTGATGATAGTTCTATTCCAACCGACATGAGAACCGTTCCAGAACCAGTAATTTCCAGTTGTCCACCTATTTGTTAATAAGTTGAACGTTCATCCTACTTTACAAATGATTTGATTGAATGGAAATAACTGTTCTAGAACGGCTCTCATGTCGAGCGATAAAAATGGAATTTAGATTTGTGATTTGCGAATAAAAATATACCTGCCTACAAAAAATCATCAAATTCGGAGTGGATAATGGATAATTACTTACCTCCTATTTTACTCTGAACGATTTTGGAACAAAAAACGAAAACTGAACTGTTCAGACTCGTTTCGGAACCGATTCTAGTTGGACCGCGGATAAGGAACTCCAATAATTCACGTGTTCCACTTGAGAAATGTTACGCTCTCAAATCTCGCATGGAGCGCTCTTTTTTGCTCTGAATTCGATGGATCAAAGAGTTTGATCAAAACAATAAAGCACAAATAAGTTCTAATATTGATTTCAAATGGTGTGCCCAGTGTGGATTAGATTTGCTCTCGGAGCACTCCCGTAACGTCATCGCTTAGGCAAGGAGCGTTCTGAAAAGATTAAAGTCGAAAATGTTATAACTTTGTTCGTGGAACACAATTCGAACCCACTTGGAATTAGATCAGGATTATTATATTCGATTTTGAACCAGCTTAAGGTTTTTCTTTTACTCTAAACGATTTTGGAACAGAAAACGAAAATTCAGAATCCTTTCGGATTGAATGATTCTAGTTCAACCGGAACAAATAACTCTGTTCGCAGATCGCGAAGTGTTCTTGAACTAATTTAGGATTTTTGTAGAGTATTTTGTTTATTTTGATATGAATCATTTACGTGTATTTCGAACCATTTTATTAAAAACGATTTCGATTGCTCATTCCTATAGAGAAATTAATTTAGAGTCCTCAGAACAGAGTGCTCTGAACCCAGACAGAGTCGGCGACTAAAAATCCAAAAACATACCTTTGTGCAAAAAGATAGAACATAATAGACATGTTGAAGATTTCGGAAATGAAACGCAAGCGACAAAAACGGATTTCAGATTTGTGATTTGCGACTACAAATATATCTCCTTACAAAAAAATCATCAAATTCTGAGAGGTTAACGGATAATTATTTACTTTTTATTTTACCTTGAAGGATTTTGGAACAAAAAACGAAAACTCTGAACTGTTCAGAATCGTTTCCAAAACCGATTCTAGTTGGACTGCGAAAACTTTGATAGCGCTTTCGACTTTTGCGTCAAAACTGCACTGCGATTCGAATCGGATTCCGAATTTACATGTTCGGTTTACAACGGAGCGTTACTCCTGGCAAGATTCACGTATTCAAATTGAGAAGTATAGCGCTCTCAAATCTCGCACGGAGCGCTATTTCTAGTTCCGTCACTTCTTTTCTACGGTATCAAATTTGTAATCCGAGGTTTCGTCTTAGGGCCACCATCATCATTTTAATAAAATTCAACTTTTATTTTCAAATAATTACACAAACTTTATTCAACATTAACATCGATCACAGCCCACTTGTACTGTCTAGAGTTCGTACTTCGAATTAAAACTTTGTTGCCCTGCAACTCTGATAGGGAATTCCCGATGACATAACCTAAACCTTTGGATTGGCCCAAAGTAAAAGAGAAATCGCCGTGTTTTATAAAACCCATCACCGTTTTGGAACAGGAAGATTTGATGGTTTCAGGCGGAGGCAACCACAATTTGCGCATTTCGATTTTGTAGTTTTGCAAGATTTCCTTGTCTGTTGGAGTCACAGACTGAAACAAATTACTTTGTATTGAAATATTGATGTTTGACTTAATTATTATACATTTCCCTTCTTGTTTGCTCGTTTTCTTCTTTTGTGTAGTTTCTTCAACAAGTTTTTATGGTCTAAACGAAGACTTTTCCTTTTTAGAGCAAAAATGTCTTTACATTTTGGTTCTAAAGGCTCCTCGTTTCCAGCGCAAGTGCCTGGCAAACAAATTATACTAAATTTGGAACACACTCCTTTGGCAATTGGTACTATTTTGATTGGTATTAGACAATTTTTTGGAAGAGTTGGCAAAATTGCTTTACCAACAAAATAATTCTAGAAAAAAAATTTTAAATTATTTTTCACAAATACATAAGTAAAATTTAGATGTCATCACTTGTATTTGTCTTAATAAGTTTCTATCTCGTAACACTGTAAAAGCATTACAATTTTCCCCAGACCACTCTGTAATGAGCATTTTCCAGTTACACAAAAATGGCGAAACGATTCCAAACTTAATGAAATTAGTTCTTTTATTAGGAGGCAACCTTAAAACAACAATCAAGTATTGCAAACTTACTCTACAACTTTATACCTGAAAAACTTTTCCACACATTCCTCCATAACAACGTGCTCTTCAAGCTCACCCGCTTTTGTGTCAGGGTAAAGCAAATCAGTCTGCGATTTTTCAAAAGCAACCGACTTGGTTTCTCTTAAACCACCAGCACGTGCCCCCCACATTACAAATGACATAAAAAACGATTGCGACCAATTGGATGCAACTATAACATCCCAACCACTACCATAACCATTATTCAGTTGCCCTTTTTTGCCAGGTCTCCACATCAGTATTACAGGCAATATTGTTTCAAGATCCATTGACAATTCAGTACCGGGAATCAGAAATTGGCTTCGTTTTTCGCTAATGGCCGCATTTGATAGCTTAGTGTCTTTGAGCACCTGCCTAACTGACTCATTCCATAACGGGCTCAAAGACGAATTTTGTTGTAATTTATCAAAGTCGTCTTTTTCGTCTTGGGTAAGTGAAGCTTTGGTTCGTTTGTTTGGTAAGTTGAGGCGCGGATCATGGACTAATATCGATATTAGTAAGTTGGGAGGCAAGTAGCTGGTGTTGGTAAGATTTTGGAATACTTGGTTTTGTTCGGATAATATTTCCAGAGGGTAGTTTTGGAGCCACGCATGGTAATCTGGATGTTTGTCTGTAAATTTGACAGTCCTAAAATGGAAATTACGTTTTGATATTTTTCAAGGGATCATTACCCAACTAACAATTTGTAATTATTTTATTGCTGCAGGAGTTTGTGGGGAATTTGTGAGAAGTTTGAGGAATTGTTTGTATAAATTCAAGGGGGTTGGCTCGGGGGTTGGTTTACCCCTTGACTAGTTAGGAGTCTGATAAGGTGTTTTCATTCCGGCTTAATGGCTGTCGTAAGTTGAAATTTCATCATCTTCAGAGGTGCTTCTATGTCCGATTCTGGTAGTAGCAGACTGACTGACTGAAACGTTTCCGACCGTAAGTTGTATTTATGTGTAAGTCGCTGTGGTGGGGGAGGGGCGGGGCTTCGCGGCACGTGGCTAATCTCAACTTTCTCTGTACTCTATGGGATCTTTCTTGCGATTTATAGCTTCACATACAAGACGATTGTGGTATTCGGAAGCTGCTGTATTTTCTAAGCAATCAGATCAGCCATGAGTAATGTCAGCTCTATTTGCTGACCATTCATATAAACTGCTTAATTCGCTTTTCTTTATTATAAATATCGCTGCCCGCCTAGAATAGTTAGTCAGTTGAATTGTAATTATATTTCTTATTTGAAACTTTGTAACGCGAACGCGAAAGTATTTCTCTATTGTAATTTAGTGAATAAATTGTTTTTTTTTTAAAAACTTGTTATCGGCCTACGTATTGATAACTGGCGCAGTCGTCCGGATTTTTTGTTTTTGGAACTGGTTTACGAACTTTTCGGAAATCGGACTAACCGGGAACTCGAATCTACACCCTTGTGTGAAAATCGTGTTAAGTGTTTGCGAGAAGTGTCGGAGTGGCTTTACGAAATCGAAAACCAAAGAACTGCCTTCAAGCAATCGGATTATTGGACCAAAATAGCCAATATTCGCGAGACCAGGATTAATTTGGAAGGATAAACATAGCCTACCAGAAATTCTTGGCCTTATAAATGTTGCTCTACGGAATAATCTTCATGTAAGTGCAATGTGCAATTTGTAATTTCTTTAATGTCTGATATTGATGAATTAACAGAAAGATTATTATCTCTATCTCTACCTTCAACTGACTCACCTTCTGATACAGAAGAGTTTATAAGAAATATTAATCAAACATTAAATAACAGTGCTGCAGTTACTGATACAAGCACTAATCAAAATAATTTAATTTTAAATAATATTAATACAATTAACAATATGGCTCAATTTAAACCTGAGTACTTAAATTGCGTACCACAATTCGATGGTAACCCTAACGATTTGAATAGATATTTGGCAGTATGCCAAAGTTTAATTGATAATTTCTATGATGCAAATCAACCAAACCATTTTCAAAATATTTACTTGATAAATTGCATCATTGGAAAATTAACTGGGAACGCAAAATTGATCCTAGGTACAGAAAATGTTACTACTTGGGATAATTTGAAACTAACTTTGAGCAGGCATTTTGCAGATCAAAGAGACGAGGCATGTTTAAACAGAGATCTCGTAATGTTGAGACAACAAAACTCAGAAAAGCCTAGTCAATATTATGACAGGGTTATGCATATTTTAAACCTGCTTTGTTCTTATGTAAATAGTCATGAAGTTGACCAAAATGCGAAAAATTTAAAGCGAAACTTATACAATGATCTTGCCCTTAAAACTTTCTTATCAGGCTTAAGGGAACCATTGGGAACAACAATTAGGTGTATGCGTCCCAAAGACCTTCCCGAAGCTTTACAGTTTGTCACACAGGAATATAATACACAATATTTTCAGAATATAGCTAAAACTCAACAAAAACATCCCTCACAGCACTTCAGACAAAATACACAACAAAGATACAATAATTCCAACACATTTAATGCTAATACACCAAATAACACGTTCACTCAACAAAAATTTCCATCTCAACCTATTCATGTGAGACCTGATTATAATAAAATACAACAAAAATTCCCAACTAACTCACAGGTCTTCAAAAATAAAAATCAGACCAATGTATTTAAACCAGGTCAAAACAAAAATTTTCCTAGACCTACCCCAATGTCTACAACGACAAGACAAACCTATTCTGCTACCAATGCACCACAAACTTCTGGTAATAACTATTTCCAAGTTACGCAACCACGTAACTTTATTTCAGAAGAATTATATAATACAAATACGACGAATGTCACTGACCTTTCTTACACCGAAAATGATCAAGAATCATATTATTATGAGACCGAAGTTGACCCTCAACAAAGTTACAATTATTCCGATAATTATAACGATTCAAATAATGAATTCCAAACCACTGAACTCGTAGAATACGACACAGCTGGTTCTTCGGAACAATCAAATTTTCAGGAAATTCAGTCAACCAACCCTGCACCCTAGAATCACCTGAAATAATTTCATTCAATAACGTCAACGCAAGTGAGCTCTCCTATATCGTCTTTCCTGAATGCAATCTCAAATTTCTCATAGATAGTGGCTCCACCAAGTCGTTCATAGACCCCGACTTAGCTCAAAAATTCTTTCCAAATCACATAAGCTATGAGCCATTCATCGTTTCAACTGTTTTCCAACAATCAGCACATCAATACAGTGCTCAAATTCCCGCTTCAAAAATTTTTAATCTACCTAATAGGAAACCTTTGAAATTTTATTTATTTAAATTTCATAACATCTTTGACGGCCTTATAGGACTTGATAATCTAAAAATGTTACAAGCTAGCATAAACTATGAAACAGGATTCTTAGTAACTCCATTTGCAAAAATCAAGTTACAATTCCAAAGAACGAACATAAACCAAGTATATAATATCACTCTCTCACCACGTACCGAACAACTAGTGAACATGATGGCGAAGTTATAATTCCATATCAGAAAATGCATAATTGCGAGATTCCGAACTCCCTAAGCATTGCAAAAAATGGATACGCTTTAACGACAATCTTGAACAATACATGTCAGCCAATTATATTAGATCTTTCACGACCAATTGAAGTGGAACCATTTAATAGAGAAGAAATAGAACAAATTGATCTAAATAATTTTGTGGCATCAAATTACGATACTGATATTTTTGACTATACTGGAATTCGCACAGATCACCTTAATTCAGAAGAGAGAGCCAAAATAATTGAATTATGTAGAAAATATTCGGACATATTTTACCAGGAAAATATGCCATTGACATTCACGAGCGAAATAAAACACTCTATAAAAACAACAGATGAACAGCCTGTATATACAAAAACATATAGGTACCCATTCATTCATAAGCAAGAGGTTGAATCACAAATAAGGAAAATGCTGGACCAGAATATTATACGCCCAAGCAATTCTCCTTGGTCTGCACCTATTTGGGTAGTCCCAAAAAAAGCAGATGCTTCTGGGAAGCAGAAATGGAGAGTCGTTATTGACTTCAGAGGCGTCAATGCAAAGACCATGCCAGATAGATACCCTCTTCCTAACATAACAGACCTTCTGGATAAGCTAGGGAAGTGTCAATATTTCACAACTTTAGATTTGGCTAGTGGGTTCCATCAAATTCAAATGAATGAAAAGGACATTGAAAAAACGGCGTTTAGTACAGAAAATGGCCATTTCGAGTTTCTCAGAATGCCCTTCGGTCTATCCAATGCCCCCGCCACATTCCAGAGGGTCATGGATGGCATCCTACGAGGAATCCAAAACGAGAAGTGCCTAGTTTACCTTGATGACATTATAGTGTTCTCGTCATCATTACAGGAACACTTGGAGCGATTAGAAACCGTATTCCAAAGATTGAGAGATACGAATTTTAAGATCCAATTAGATAAGAGCGAGTTTCTAAGGCACGAAGTAGCCTACTTAGGACACGTTATAACACCTGAAGGAGTACGTCCTAACCCAGATAAAGTCAACGCAATCAAAAAATATCCCATACCAAAAACAACGAAGCAAATAAAAGGATTTCTTGGACTATTAGGTTATTATCGACGCTTCATAAACAATTTTGCAAAATTAACAAAACCACTAACCAAATGTTTGAAAAAGGGAGCCAAGATTGAACATAACCCAGAGTTCATTGACTGTTTCGAAAAATGTAAAAAACTATTGACAAATGAACCGATACTACAATACCCGGACTTTTTTAAAACCTTTAATTTGACCTGTGACGCTAGCAATGTAGCGCTAGGCGCAGTACTGTCGCAAGGGCCCATTGGTCAGGACCTGCCAATAGCATACGCATCCCGTACATTGAACGACTCGGAACAAAACTACTCTACCATTGAGAAAGAATGTTTGTGCCTAGTGTGGGCGACAAAATATTTTAGGCCATACCTGTATGGACGAAAGTTTAACATCATAACAGACCATAAACCCTTACAGTGGCTGTTTAACTATAAAGATCCCACTTCAAAATTAGTACGATGGCGAATAAAATTACAAGAATTCGACTACCAAATAACATATAAGAAAGGAAAACTTAACACAAATGCTGACGCGCTAAGTCGCATTGAGTTACACACAAAAGACGCCGCCAACATCTCGAGTTTAGTCTCATACATCGAGGAATTTAATAAGCAACTTGAACAAGAAGGCACCTCATCGTCGAAGACGAACAACGGAAATATAAATGCAAACGAAGATAACTTAGACCTAATTTCAACGATGGCACAACCCGACCTTGACCCACCAGCAAATGAAGACGAAAATGAAACCATACATACAAATAACGAACAAGATCCTATAGTAGGAGTCCCTATTATAGAATCAGCAGTTAATTACGGAGCTAATCAAGTGATTATTACGAGCGTTTTGCATTCACCTGCAAAAACAAAACGCTTGATATTATTCGAGAAGAAAAGAAGATTTCTAGTCCAATTATCGGAAAATAATTTTGAAAATGACGTCATGCAATTTGTGAAAGAAAATGTAGTACCCGAAAAGTTATATTCCATTTATTTCGAAAATCCAGATACTTACGAACCTTTCTGCGAAATAATAAGAAAAAACTTTAAATGGCCTTCAATTAAATTTAAAAGATGCTTGATAAAATTAATTGATGTCGTCAACAAAACAGAAATAGCAGAGGTAATTCAAAATTACCATGAGAGCAAGACAAATCACCGAGGAATCGAAGAAACCGAGCGACGAATTAAGGAAAAATATTATTGGCCCAACCTGAAAGAATCCATTCAATAATTTATCAATGAATGTGAAATTTGCCAACGTAGCAAATATGAACGTCACCCAATAAATATGGAAATGAACATCACGCCTTCTGCAACAAAACCATTTGACATCATCCACCTGGATACATATACTCTCGATAAGGTTAAATTTCTTACTATAATAGACAGTTTTTCTAAATATGCCCAAGCTTATGCCCTTACATCTTTATCCGCTACCGAAATATGTGATAATCTCATATCCTTCTTTTCACATCATGGCATTCCATCAAAGATAATCACAGACAATGGAACTGAGTTCAAGAATACTGTTCTTACTGAACTACTCCAACTTCACAAAGTAAAAATACATTTTTGTTCTCCTGAACATCCCCAATCTAATGGCGTAATAGAGAGGCTCCACTCAACCTTATCTGAACACATAAGAATTTTCAACAATCAAGGATTCCTAAAAACGCCAATTACCCAAAAAATTAAATATGCAATCTTAGCATACAATCATACGATCCACTCTGTAACCAAACACAAGCCCATTGACATAATCACAGGACAAATAAGTCCCAATGACCCATTCGATCTTAAGTTAGATCAACTCCTAATTACAGATTACGTCAACGAGCACAAAAATAAAACAAAACTCTTGTATTCCAACATAAATGAACGTCTTATGGATACAAAAAATAAAATAATTGGCAAAATCAATGAAAATCGTGATAAGCCAACATTATTTAGACCAGAACAGAAAATATATGTAAAGAAACATACACGCCAAAAATTAGGAGACAAATTTCGACCAGCCACACAAATAGAGACCGTTGACCTCACACGGAAAACAATAACAACGGACACTCTAGGCAAAGTGCATATGGACAATATTAAACGTCCTCTAAGAAACAAATATAGTTTCGATACTTAAGTTAATTTTAATAAATAGGTAATAAGAATAATAATATTGGTACTAATAAATATGAATATGATAACCTCACGCTTACGCTTACTAATCTTTATTTCAGCTTTATAACCCACGCATTAGGAAACCAAGAGCAAATCTCCATAAGAAAATTGGACGATAATCCTGGAATTATCCCAGTGAAACTTGGAAATGCAAAAATTAGAGACTACACCTACACATTGATACACTACTATGACCTAAATCCCATACTTATCGAAATTAACAAACTACACTCTAAATCCAATAATATCACTAACATGCTTAATGGACACAAAGAGTATTCTGAAGATATTAGTAATTATATCAAATTAATTCAACTAATACAAATTAGAGTAGATAACAAAATTAAAGAAATAATTCCCCAGCCACAAAGAACAAAAAGAGGCTTGATTAACGGCCTAGGGTCAATTTTCAAATCCGTAACCGGAAACCTCGACGCTGACGATGGCGAACGTTATGAAAATCTTATAAGGGAATTGCAAGGAAATCAAAAGAATTTGCAAGCAAATATTTTGAAACAAAATTCACTTTCTTTAACTGTTATTGAAAAATTCAATACGACGATAAAACAAATAAATTATAATGAGAAACTCTTAGAATCAAAAATCAATCAAATCGCACACATAGTAGAGAAATCTGCTTATAGAGAAAATTCTCTTTATATTAAGGACATAATTAATCAAATTATTAATGTCTATGAAATAATAGACTCAATATTACAAGATGTCGAAAACTCTTTAACTTTTTCCAAGTTAAAAATTATGCATCCTAGCATAATGAGAACTGAAGATCTCTGTACAGAACTTATCAAATTACAAAAACAACTAAGTAATGAACAAATGCCTTTAGCAGTTAATGTTGAGAACATTCTTTTGTATGAAAAAATCATCAAATTAGAATCATTTATTCTTAACAATAAAATAACTTATTTGGTCCATATACCTATAATGTATCCTGAATCTTTCGATTATTTCCACCTATATTCAATACCAATCAAAAGTCAGAGTCAGTTTAAGGTAGTCCTTCCACAAAATAAATATCTTCTCAAAAACGGATTGCACTACGCACATTATGGCCAAGAATGCCAGGAAATCCTTCCTGAATTCCACCTATGCGAAAAAGAAGAACTCCACGAACTCCAAGACAGCAGTCCATGTGAAGTAAAGCTACTGAACTCCGAAAAAGACACTTCTACTTGCAAGCCAACTGAAGTCAAAATCACACAACCAATAATCAATCGATTGGACAAATCCAATCAATGGGTATTTGTACTTCCGGCTAAAGTACCTATCAAATTCAAGTGCTTTGGACAAGAAGAAATCAGAAAAGTTATTGGAACCTTTCTAGTTCGTATACCAACCAGTTGCCAAATAACTATCTCTTCGAGACTGATTATCAACGAAAAGAAGCCTCTGAAATCAGATGCACAACCTATACTATTTCCTGACCTTCCAAATGTACCTGAATTAATGCATTCCCTGAATTTAGGTACACACTTAAAAACCATAAAACTGGACAATCTCCACCAACTAGCTAATGAGATGGTAGAAAACCGTTTGACGTTTAGTGAAATCAGAAGACTACCAAGTTTGGGAACCATTCTGATATATGCTATGATCCTTGCTGGGTGTGCTGTTCTTGGCTATAAGAAACTAGCACCGAAGTTGAAGAAACGAAGAGGGGACAACCACCCCGAAGAAGAAGCCCGACCAATCCAACTTCCTCGCTTAGCATGAAGTTGTATCTCAAGAAGGGAGGAGTAATGTCAGCTCTATTTGCTGACCATTCATATAAACTGCTTAATTCGCTTTTCTTTATTATAAATATCGCTGCCCGCCTAGAATAGTCAGTCAGTTGAATTGTAATTATATTTCTTATTTGAAACTTTGTAACGCGAACGCGAAAGTATTTCTCTATTGTAATTTAGTGAATAAATTGTTTTTTTAAAAACTTGTTATCGGCCTACATATTGATAACTTATGTAAGGTAAACAGATGAGGAATCGTTTACTTAAGAAAGGGTTTGTAATTCTTTGTCTTGATGTTGAGTCAGTTCGTATAGTTATTTCTATGAGTTCACACGCTCTGCTTTCCACGCTGTGTTCGATATAATAAATATATTGAATATCGATCATTAACAAGTTCTTTTATTTCTTAGTCCATTTCCCAATAATAAGAACGACAAAAAGATCCATGGGAATCAGGATTAACGAGCACAAAAGAAACTGCAGACTAGGATAATCGGAAAAATCGGCTGTTGCGGAACGTATGCTTAGTGAAGGGAATCATGAAATACTCTTTGGTGAGGCAAGCTTCTTGCACCGACTTCCGGATACCACAATCGTAGATTAAGAGAGATTTAGATCCAACTGAATACAGAGAAACTTGGGATTAGCCACGTGCCGCGAAGCCCTGCTCCTCCCTCAACACAGCGACTTATACATAAATACAACTTACGGTCTGGAACGCGTCAGTCTGCTACCAGAATTGCACCTCTTAATATGGTAGAGAAACGTCAGGAAGAAATTTCAACTTACAACGGCCATTAAACCCGAATAAAAACACCTTATCAATAAACCTGGGCCGCGAAAGCCTCACAAACTTTATCATTTAGGAGTCTGTTTGTTTTATAATTCCTTGCTTATAAAAACTATAAGAACGTTTATTTTGAAATGTTAAAGAACCGTTATAAAACTAAAATTGTTAGTTGGGTAATTTATGTTCCATTATTATTCAAATGTTACCTCAATGCATTTTTCAATACAGCAGTCGATAAAGGACCAGTCAACCTAAATCTATCGAGCTCATATTCCAATTCCTTTAATTCAACATTTTTTGGACCTCTATAACTTGTTTGATTTTCAACTAAATTCATCTCAAACAAACCAATCAACAAGTCCAAAACTTGTTTATAGAAAGCTGGATGAACAAACAGCCACAAAACATTGTTTGTACTATTCCAAAAAAACTGTACATCTCCAACAGCTTTGTTGCAATCAAACAAAATAAGCTCTCCAAACTTTTTGCCTCCGGCAAAACATTTAGCCCCAAAACTTAAACCAACTGTTGTATTTTTGAGCCCTTGAATAATATCTTCATAAGCTCCATCAATTTGAATACACCTTTCATAAGATATATCTTGTATAAGGCAATGTTGAGTGGTAGCCCTATAGCAAGCCCTAAAGGATTTATCGCACGGTTGCTTGGGCAATTTAAAACCCCACTTTTCAATCATGTGAAACCTTTTGGCATGCCAAATGTGAGTGTTAAGCCATTTAACTCGTCTTTGTCTTCTGGCGTAGTCGCTTTGCAAATTGCGCAATCGTCTTCGGTGTTTTCTGTTGGGTTTTTTGGCTTTCGGTGCCAGTCCCGATTTTGTCATTTGGTTTAGGTGGATTTCTCGTAAACGTCTCGGGAGACGTTTGACCGCGTGAGACATGGCCCTGCGTCGCATGTGTTTTGGTAGTTTTTGGAAAACCATTTTGGTTCCGGATTTTTCTTCGATGTTTTTTTGCATCGCTTCGATTTCTTTGATTCGGGCTGCCGCGATTGATGTTACTGTTATTGAGTTTGGTAGGGACACGTTTAATACGTCCGAGGGTATGTTGCTTTCGGCCATTGCGAAAGAGTTTTTTTCACTGAAAAAAATTCTCATACAATTTGGAGAATGTCGAAACTATTTATACAATAAGTTACGAAATACAAGTCTTCAAACCACACTTCAAGATTTATATTTCACAATTTGGCGCCAATGTGTGACGTACATTTTTGCACCGACCAATAAGAATGATTAACAATGATGTTCTTGACAAAAATGTCCTTTGGTTAGAGAAGGGCTTATCGATATTCAACACAACTTCTTATTAATATTGATATTAATATGAGGAAATATCGATATGATCATCTATTGTCTATTCCTGGCTCTTGAATTTGTTGAGATAAAAAAATTCAAGAGCCTAGGGAGCCTGGAATAGAAAAACACATGAATGTCCTATAATGTATAATTTTTTCCTCAATTTTTCTACATTTCTCAATTTTTGTCTATTCTCGGCTCTTGAGTTTTCATTTTCTTCTAAATTTCTCTAAATAGAGGAGGAAGTTTAGAAACTTGGAATAGCAACCAAAATTTAAGGATTTCGGCTTCAAATCTTTTTTGAAATTTCATCGTTTTAGTAAAAAACCTTATGATTTAGATTTTGGAAAACTTTAGAAGGTCATAACTCTTTCTATTAGCGATAAAAAGCTAAAAATTTTCAGCGATTCTTATCCCAGTAGACTGTAGAGGATTATAATTCCTGCAAATGTCAACTCGCTTAATAATAAGCAGCAAGAATATTACATACTATACAGAATCATAGGAAAGCATATCCTCATTTCCTCATAAAGCCTGTGTAATTCAAATCTCAAGCCCCGCAACACCCCAAAGTACTATTTAGCAGGGTCCAGAAATAACGCACAGGGTGCAAGTGGCGAGTGCGTTTTCATGGGTGTGCCTAAATTGGCCATTGGACCCATAGCACCGTCTAGCATTTTTAAACAACTAGGGCATCGCACCGGGGCCTTATTCTGTAAGGAACGAACCGTTCGATCCCCATTGTGACGTCATTTTCGGTTTGGTAGCGCGAAGACCAAATCGAAAATGACGTCACAATCGAAGAAATTCTACCGAATCGAACGGTTCGTTCCTTACAGAATAAGGCCCCCGGTGTCACACTCACACTGGGTGGATCATTCCTGAACTCGCTCCAGAGTATCATTTCTTGCCTTGACGTAGGGTGTCTGCACCACAGGGCCATTTGCTTTATGCAAACTTGGTTTTAGTACAAATAAACATTCTTGAACAAACTTTTTTTAGATCTCATTTGCATCTTTCTCTTTGCATATTACGTTAATCAAGACTAACGACACAGTTGATGACTTTGGCAATGGTACACCATTTATTACTATGATTCTGAAAATCGAGGCCGATAAATAATTCTGTGGTAATGTGTAATATCCTTGAATAAACAGTCCTAAGCTGCTTTCGGGTGCCACCTTTTGAGCGCTCCCGAGCTACTCAGAAGTACTCCAGCAACAGTTTGACCCGTTCGGTATCAAGCGTTCCAGTGCAAAACGTATGGAGAATGACAGGTCACTGACAGGTATGAAGTGTTCCAGGAGCTTCGCACTCTGCACCCGAAAGCGGCTCTATTTTCTTGACGTGAGCCGCTTTCGGGTGGAGAGTGTGAAGCTCCTAGAACACTTCACACCCTGTCATACTTCATGCATTTTGCATTCGAACGCTTGAAACCGAACGTGTCAAACTGTAGTCGGAGTAACTCGGGAGCGCTCATAGGGTGGCACCCGAAAGCAAGTATAATGATGGTTTTAAATTTTGCAACATTCCTATTGATACGAAATATTTGTATCGATATATACCTTTATATACGTTGTTTATCGATATATCGTATCGATAAGCCGATATCTCGATAAGCCCTCTATTCTAAGAAAATGGACAAATGAAAATTTGTACGAATTATGAGAAAATCAAGAGAAAATCGAAGTTAATTTTAAATTTATTTCCATTTACAAAAAAAAGTCGCTAACGAATCAGTTTTTTTTCAACATCTCTACTGATCCCTAAATTCTCTACACAAACACAACTGAACATGACTGAACCAAAATCAGGGATTTTCAAACAAAAATTTAACTTACCTTATAGTGTAATAATTTTAATCTACTCGACTGAATGAAAGGTATTTCACTTTAAATTACTAATTTGTTAATTGGTAATTAACTATTTTCAAAATGAAAATTTTACCTCAAAAAACGCTTAAATTCTAACCTAAAAATTTTCGTGTTGACAAAAGTGTTTTTAGGTGCTTTCATTTGAGGTGAGTTCGGAATGGTATTTTAGTGCAGTGCTAGTTCGGCGTTCGTGTAGTGCAGTGTGCACGTGATGAAGGTGTAATCGGCGATGTTACACCGAATACACCATCATTACCTATTAATGTACCGAGTGAACGGTGTCTCACCATCCGAGCACCAAATTATTTCCAAACGCAAATAAAGTGTACACCAAACTTACTCCTACCAATTAATGAACGCCACAATGACACTAGTGTAAAAAGTGACGACACTTTCCACCATTCCGAACTCACTTTTGCAATAAGTTTTCAAGCTCCGGAGTAAGTAAATCAAACAGAAATCATTGAAAATTTTATTTTTTACAGGCGACATCATCGTCAGACACAATAAACATCAATCCGCAAATGATAAAAGCCATTCCTGTCCACCAAAGTGTAGAAGTTATTTCTCCCAACAGAAAATAGCCAAGGATAGCCTGAAAGGAAAATACATTAAAAAGCTGATCCGATAACCCGATCTCCAACTGACGATGTATTTTGTCTTTTTTCAATAATGTTTAATAAAGAAAGATGAAAAACAAACAGCTGGTGATCGGGTTAATTAAAGCGTTTTCTCTCTTTGATTTTTTAGAAATTGGTTCAAAACAGGTTTGAAATAGTAGGCAATTTTTTGCGAAGATAATGCCCTAACTCCCCCACAATTAAATTCTGGGATACTCGAGGATCAAAAACGCTACTTAATTTCTTCTGTGAGAACAGACCAAAAATCACCTTTTCTACATTTAAAATCGACGAAAAATTAACTCATAATTCAACCTGAATCGCGAGCATTCCATCAAGGTCTGCGGGTGATGTCATTACTATAAGCTGCTGATAGTGACGTCACTCGCAGGCCCAAAATTTGATGAAGAGGGAGTTAGGGGAGTATGACACAAGCGACACCACATCCAGCATAATCAGATTAAGCTTGAATTATCTTCGTGAAAAATTGCCTAATATATTTTCGCGATTAACCCATGACGTCATACGAAATTGGTTCAAACTGTTCCGAAATACAATCCAATTCAAGATTTTAAACCATTTTCTGGTGCTGAAAAGCTATGACATCACTGTTTTAAATCAGTTTTGAAAAATGTTTCAGAACTTTGAAACGCAAGAAAACACCTCTAGTTTGTTAATTTTGTTTTGTACCGTAAATAGAAAGTTCGAAGTTGAACTGACGATGGTGGCTACAAACGAAGAACTCGACTGGTGCAAAGCTTTAACGAATAAAGTCCAAACTGCGGCGTTGCATAGAATCATCGAGACAAAGAATATTAGGCGTAAAATCAGGAAATCCTAAAAAAAAATCAAAATTAAATTGAAAACCAGAAAGATTTGGCAACATGTGTTTTCTTATCTTTCAACAGAGGAAAATCGAACAGTTCAGGGGGAGGATTCTCATCCTCTAGTCGCAACCTATCGTCCCGACTCACTCGTAGAAAGGCGATGGCATAGTCGGGACGATAGGTTGCGACTAGAGAATGAGAATCCTCCACCAGTTACGCGAAACTCTAAAGCACTGGGACCCCTTTAAACAGCCTGAGGCGTTCTAGAGCAGCTCAGGAATGTTTAATAAAGTGCGTCACTGGAAAACAAATCTGACCACTTGAAGAAAATAACTGATAGCGATTTCTATTAAGAGAATCAGGGCGAAAAAAATATATTTTCATCCTTATATTTTACATACTTTTAGAAAAAGATGCGAATGCACTTAGTGCACACTGATCGGCAAATGGAAATCGAAAACGCTAACTTAGGGCAGAAAATGGTCTGGATCGTAAGCAGTTATTTTACCTGAAAGGCGTCCAAACCGGATAATTTCCCAAATGCGCCAGCACTAGCCGCACAAATGCCAGAGAAAACAGCGTATTGTAATTTGAATGCCATAATAATTTACACTGAAAATAATTTATTCAAAAATAAAAAGTAAACAAACATTTATGTTAGAGAGGAGAACTTATCGATACAATATATCGTCGATGAAATTGCATATCGATACCAATTTGTCATATCGAATCGAACGATTCGAATGGTTTGGAAACCACTCTGTATAGACAGAATAGACAAAAATTGAAATGGGAAAAAGTCAGAGATATTATAATTATCGAAAATGTTGATATTTTCTCATATCAATATCGATATGAAAAAGAAGAGTTATGCCTCATTCTCACTCGCGCGAAATTCGCTATTTTTGCGCGAAATTCGCCCTTTTTATTTGACGTTTTATGCGTGTATCAAGCGTCAAATTGTCGAAGTAATGTCAAAAAAGACCGAAGTTCGCGCGAGTGAGAATTATAGCGTTTTCCATATGTCGAACCAGTGCAAAAAAAATGTATCCTTATCCAAATACATGTTATATGCTTTTAGAAAAAGATGCGGATACACTCAGTGCGCACTGATTGACAAAATGGAAATCGCCATTAGGCTTCAGACCTTTTGGGGTGCGTTCGAAATCACCCTGGGCGTCACACCGAGTGCACACCAGCTATGGGCCTGTTTCTCAATAGTACAGTGGCTAAATAAACCTTTACATACAGTGGCGACAATAGAGGTCCCGCCGCCATCTTGTTCCCAACCTGTTGTTACTTTCAAATATTAATATATAGGATTTAAATGGGCATCTATCATAAAAAATTGAAATCGACGTATTTGATAACCATTATTAGATCCATCAAATACGTTGTTTTCCATGATTTATGATGGATGTTCACCTAAATCCCATATATTCATATTTAAAAGAAACAAGAGGTTGGGAACAAGATGGCGGCGTTTTCAATATAAATATATGGAATTTTAGAACCAATAAAAAAAAAGACAGCAATTGTCGCCACTGTGGTAATAGAGTCACTGTACTCAATAGCGAGTCACCCCCGGGTTGGTTTTAACTCCAGGGTTAACGTGTCAAATTGCAATGTTTACCCTGGAGTTAGCTTAACCTGAAGGTGACCTGCTATGGAGAAATCGGCCCTATGAATTATTCATGGCTGGTGTGCACTCGGTGTGACGCCCAGGGTGATTTCGAACGCACCTTTGAGGGCCGGTTTCTCAATAGCGAATCACCTCCGGGTTGATTTAAACTCCAGGGTAAGCGTGTTTAGCTACTATGTTTACCTTGGAGTTATCTTTAACCGGGAGGTGACAGCTATTGAGAAACCGGCCCTGAGAGAATATCGAATCGATACTCTTGAATATCGATAAACCCTTCTCTAATGCAGTGTTCTTTTAGCAACAATCCTATACAAGAAAAGTCATTCAAATGTCAAATTTGGCGCTAATAAACTTGTCAACCATACTTTTTACATAAATAAATGTTTTTAAATTGTTAAATTATCAAATATAATGGAAACTCAATTTGAAAAACTGGAAGAATTGATCAAAGATGATGACAAAATTGTAAGTCAATAATTGTACAAATAACCCAAAATGCATTGTTTCTTTTAAGGTAACTGTAGTGTCTCTATCTCAAATAGCAAAAGTTTCACTACAAGAATCTCAAAATTTAATAAATAAATATGTGGAGTTGCACAAGGAATCTGAAGAAATCTTTCCCACATATATTTTGAGTGGAATAAAAAAAGAAACTGGCGATTTGTTGATTGTTCAAGTGAACAATGAGAATATTGAAGATGTTAAGAAGCATTACAAAAATGACCCTGAAGTCATTATTTTTAGTATTCAAAGATCGAAATCTATCGATTATAATGTTATTTCGCTTGTCCAGCCTAAAAGTGATAATTTTCTGTGAGTATTTTGTTATTACAAGTTTATATTCTTGACTACGACCGCTGGCGCAAAAAACTGACAAAAAATCTGATGACGTCACCAACAGTACAACAGTTGATTCAAAAAATCTCATTAAAAATATAGGCCAATAAGCAATTCTTTGATTGTGATACCCTTGTGCCATTGACACAGATTACTTATATACAGATGCGAAAAAGCGGCGAATTCGTGGTTCAAGATTAACTTTTGATCCTGTCAAGTGCCATTAAAAGGCCGCTTTTACTGACATTCGGAAAAAAATAACTATTTTCTACCCTCAAAAATATATAAACACACAGGCTGGAACATGCTCAAGCACTCGGCCACGTTAATTGTTCTGATGCGGGCGATCTTTATCTATGCGTGGGGCCGCTGGCGGCCCGGCTTCGTTACAGAATATCGTCGACAACAAGTATACGTACTTACGCATCTGTATTTGACCTTGTGCAGACTCTCAGATGTAAATTATTGTACAATATAACCTTGTTTTTTTTAAATTATGGCGGCGAACTTCGTATCGATTATCAGAGATGGCGTCATATGCGATATAAATGATTTTGCTTTATATATTTGTTTTCCGTGATTTTGTCCCATGTTTTAATAGGTATTATCTTAGTCGGGGCAGAGATAAATCCAACAATGCAAAAATTATAAAAATTAGTCTAGCCGTTCTCGAGTTATAACGGACACGACTTTGAGTTTGTTAATATTTTTTAGGCTGGGTCAAGTTGTTGGCAAAAATTGCGTTAAAAGAATCCTCACTAAAAAAATCCTACCCACTTTGCCTGCTCCCACAATTAAAGGCAAATCTACAATATTTACCAAGCAAAATAGTGCTGTAAATGTAAAATCAGAAGACAAATTGAAACCTGAAGAAGATAAAAATAATGATACAAAAACAAAAGTAATATTATAAATATTTTTTTTTAATGCAAATATTATATTATTTTTCTTAGCAGGCTTCAGCTACTAAAGGAACAATTGCGAATATGTTTAAAGCGGCACAAACACAAAATAAAAAACCTGTCGAACAAAAACCTAAAAAAAATGTAGGTCTTTCAAATTTTCTCACTAAAAAACCAATCAAGGAAAAAGTAGCAGAGGAAATTAAGCCAAAACAAGAAAAGGCAATTGAAGATAAAGTAGTAAAAGAAACAAAACAAGAAACAGAAGAAATCAAACCAAAACCAAACAAAAGTACTTCTGATCTTTTCGATTCTGATACCGACGAAGAAATTTTAAAAGATTTACAAATACTAGAAGAAAAACCGAAAGCCAAGCAAGAAGAAGAAAAACCAAAAGCCAAAAAAACTGTTCCTAAAAAACCAACTCAGAAAAATAAAAGGAAGAAAACTGAAGAAAGCAGCGGTGAAAAAGCAACTAAGAGACGCAAAAGGATTATCGTGGAGGAATCAGACAGTAGTGATGGTAATTGCACATTTTTTGAATATTCATATTATTTGCATAGTAAATGGCGGTCTTGTCAGATTTAGATAATTTTGTGCAACCAATGAGAAGCAAGTTTGTTATGTGGTCGCATCAAATATGCATTCAAAAGTGAGTTCAGAAGTAATCATTCCTTCTTTTTTTTTTGTAACATGTAATTTGACAAAAAGCAAACTAATACTTTATGTATTTTTATTTATTTAGTTTATTTTATTACTTCTGAACTCAACCTAGTTTCAAGTTTAGGTTATCAAGTCTTATACAATATTGCCAAATGAAACATTTATCAAAATCAAAGTGCAAAAAGACCATTTTTCAGATATGTTTGCTGATGAAAAATCAGACAACGAAGAGCCTCCCGAACCAATGGAAATAGAACCAGCACCCGTAAAAGAAGCACCTCCTCCAGTACCAAAAAATAAAAGAAGAAAAGCTGTAAAGAAAATCTATGAAGATGATGAAGGCTTTCTCGTAACTGAAACCGAATACGTTTACGAAACAGCATCTGAAGATGAAAATATGCCCGAAGTAAAAGTCAAGCCTTTAGTTGAGAAAAAATCAAATTCTGAACCAGAAATAAGCCCTAATAAGGCTAGCAAAGCTAAAAAAGGAGCCAAAAAGGCAGTTGCTGCTAATCAAACTACGCTTATGAGTTTTTTCAAGAAAAAATAACTATATTTATTTTTTTTATTTATAAGTTAATTCCTTTATATAAACGAGGCGCTACTGGTTTGCCCAACCCCATAGTGAATTTTTCTGTTGGTTCTTCACCTAATAATAAAATAGAAATATTTACAAAAAAAAATCAAAGAAGCAAAAAATTATTCTCACCCTCTTCAGCAATTCTATATTTCATTTTAACACTTTGTCTGTTATAGAAAATTTTTAGTTCTAAATCATCTTTAGTTGAGGGAGTGTTTTTCAACTCACGAGCTACAAGTTCTTTGAGTAAAGGAGGAAACTCCATTGTCCTAGGCAATATTCGTTCAGTGTTTTGAGGCTTGTAAGCTTTACAATAATCAGCTTCTTCGTCTTTCGGTATAAGTTTGTAGTCGGTTTTATAAGAAGCTGATTCCAATGGTCTCGGTTCTGGATAGGTTTTGCCTCTAAAGGTTTTTTCTACTAGGAGTCTGATTTTTCTTAGATTCTGCAAAGACTTGGTTAATTTCAGTTGAAGATAGATTAATGTTACTCACGTCTATGGATTCGTTTTCGGGTTGGGGCAAAGTTTCAACTTTTAAAATTTTAAAGTAGGAAGGTTCTGGGTACCTTTCCATCCGGTTTCTGGCAACTATTCTACCTACTCCGAAATTTTTTAGGTTTCCCAAGAGTTCCCATAAGGTTTTACCTTTGAAATCGTGTGTGCGACCGATATATTTGTAGGGCATTTTTGAAAATTTTGTGGTTTTACTATTTTTTTAATAAATAAGGTTAGGAGATTGTGATTGTAGTGCACTGTTTTGTTTGGATCCCATTGAATAATTGGTGTAACACTCTTTGCTCCGAGTGTAATCAATTTCGTATTCGGCTATAGTGCTATTTTAGTGTCAAACTGGTTCGGAGTGTTTTGAAACCGTTTAGAACAGGTATAAGGATTCAGAACCGATTTTTACCAGTTCTAGAGCGCACTTTTATGTTGGAAGTTAGAGAATTTTGATGTGGGCCTGGATTCCGATGGTATCGTTTATCGTCAGGGTAGTTTTGCGAGGCAAAATTTATAGTTTTCTTATTCTCGGCTTTTGAATTGAAAAATTGAAGAAAAGAGGGATGGGCTCCAAGAGCCTGAAATAGACAGTAAATTATAGCGTTTTCGTTGAGTTGCACCCACTCTTATGTGGTGATTTCAAGTGCAATAAGACTAGAGTCAATTGGAGTAAATTCACTCCACACTTTTCAATTGTCTCGGGCAACAAAATGAGAGCATCTCAACTAGTAGGCCATTTGGAGCACTAGTTGACGAAAACGAACACGGCTAATAATTCAAGGTTCGTAGTGTTCTAGAATCGTTCGGAAAAGAGTCTGGAATAGGCAAATAATTCCGACCAAAATGATATTTCTACATCGAAAAGAAAACAGCCCAATTTTGACATTTTCAATAGTCATTCAATTATAGCGTTTTCGTTAATTTGCACCCTCTCTCATGTGGTGTTATTTTCCGTGCGTTCGGTATTTTGATTTGAGTTCTCCGAGCTTGAATTTACCAATCATTTATTTAAAAAGTGTACTTGGTGCATGCTCATTCGCGTTCGTTTATTGAACTTTCGGCAACTCTGATACAGCGTTCAACTGCTTTGTTTGCTCGGTGGTTACGTGATTACGGCTCCCCTCAGCACGCTCTGCTATTTGAGCAAAATACCGAACGCAAGGTTTATAGTGCAACAAAAATAGAGGCCATGTTCGTTTTCGTCATCTTTTTCGATGATTTGCTCCGAAATTTTGACAGGCACGTGTCTGGATAACATACTGGAGTTGGGTTCGGGTTGCACACTCCGAGTGACTCCGTTCTCACTTTAGCCGTTCGAGTATTGCCTTTTAACGAACGGAGTCACTCGGAGTGTGCAAGCCGAACCCAGCTTGGATAAGATAGTTTGAATCGAAAACACTTATTTTGGAATACTAACGTTCGATTTCGTTAGATGGCACCAGATTCCATATTTACAAAATCGAATTGTGGGGCCCCGCATCAACAAATCCAAAATCAATATTGAGGCGTCTCTTTGATGAATTAATTGTCCCAAAAATGAATACCGCAATAAATTTAGGCGTCGAAGACATGACGGCCACGATCGTAAAATTCATGTTGTTCGTGGGAGCCCTATTTCAAGTCGCTTGTCTCGGTGCCTGCATTTTCGTCAAGGAAACTCCTAACGACAGCAATTGGGCCCCCAGAGTAAGAATAATTAACAAACTATAGTAGTTCAACTTAGAAAATAAATAAATAATTTTATTTAGGAAAGCGAAGACGATAGTTCAACGCAAAGTACCCCACAGAATACCCCTAGAAGGCCCTACCATCGTAGCGGCCGGAAGGTTGAAAAGAAAAAACGCCGCTGAATTTTTTTTTTTCCAATAAGGCCTGATTTATTTATCTTCAGTTAAACTTGCTGGTAATTGCATACCAGACACTAATAATTTATCAGAAGGCGAATAAATTGCTTCTAAGGTTGCAACAATTAATACTCATAGTAAATGTGTTTTAGGTTTTTATTTTTTACAATACTTATTACAGTATTAATATAATAATATGTATTTTATCGGAACAGTAGTCTACGTCCTACATATAAAGTATTTCAGTAAATATACAATATTATATTTATTGTAACATTTACAATATAAATTAAATATAAACATAAAGTTAATAATTAAATTGCATTTTTTAATACATACATACAAATTTGCCCAATCAAATCATATCCAATTGATTTCACCTTATGTATGCTAGAAAAAATGGGAATTTTCTTAAAATTAAATATGAGTCAAAGAAGGAGAGTAGTTGGGCAATAATTTTGAATACACTTTGTTTTTTTTTATAGGGCTACAATTATTATTATTAGAGGAGGATTACAATAAAAAATATTAAATTCAACTGCTCGTTCTTTGACTCGGCCCCACAATAGTTTTTTTCTTTTTAAAACCGAAAAAAAAAAAAAAATGAAATGAAACTAATGAGGTAAATATAAAAGATCACCCGTAGGCGGGGTATCACAGCCCCACTTGTCAGTTGGATTAGCACTTGTAACTCTAGTCCAGTCTTCTATTTTTACCCTGTACATTAGGTGTCGAGCTTACTGTTGTTGAGACCATTGCTTCTTTGGAGGACGAGACGAATTGGCTAGAAAAATTTAATAATCAATATTTTTTTTTTGTCAATAAATCTTCTTGGTTATTCTTTTTTTTTCAAATAATTTTTGAAGTATTTTGTTACTGAATTGAAAACATCCACAGCAAACTCAAATTTTAATTTTCTAAGACGGCTGGATTTTTTGGCACGCCACTGATACTAAGTAGTATTAGTAAATAATTTCCTTTCAATTAATTTTAACAGTTAGTCCAAAATTTCACATTCTTTCCTAGGTTTTTGAGGAGAAAGTTTCAAAATATTGAATTTTGTCAATATTACTTCACCCAACAAGGCCAATCCAAATTTTGGCGCCTACTGTAGAAAATTTTACCGATAATCGAAAATAATTCTACCACTGTATAAAGATATAGAATGATCAATATTCTAATATTTGTAATATTATATGAACTTGTATATATTTGAAGATTAAAGTTTAATATCAATTGGATGATGATAATTGAAAAGGAACCAAGCGCCAAATTGCAAAAATCTGGATTATGGAACCATATGACAGTTTGGCATTTATTTTTAATGTGTAAAAAGTCTCAAGCGCCTACCGGCATCCTAGCGGCATGTATTGATTGAAGATCCAAGCGACTTTGAGCGAAATAGCAGTTTTCTGTTATAGAAAAAGATCCAAGTTCCAGTACTGTTTATAGAAAATGATTACTGTTGCTTGGTTCCCTTTATATTTTCGGACAGTTTTTTTTGTGAGTGCTGGTTTTCATGTTTTTGGATTTCAATTTGAACTAAAAATGAGTGGAAGAACTAAGGATGGGCCAGGTAAATCTTTTACTAGAGTGTATATGCTTGGAAAGGTTGAAGTGTGCCGTCGTGATACTTATAACAACACCTACCAAATATCCACAAAGCGGGTTAACACTGCATTAGAAAAAAAAAAACGTAGCACCAAAATACAAGTCGAACGAGGAAAATCTGGAGGGAAGAAGGAAATTGATGTAGAATCAATAAATAAAATTATCGATCACATAGCCAAATTTCTTACCTATGTGTCTCACTACTATCGTTCAGAAACGGAAGAAAGAAAAATGTACGAACTATATGTAGAACACAAAAATCCCAAAGTTAGTTTTCAGTTCTATAATAGTTATTTACATTACAAGTGCGTTTATGAACATGATTACAATAACGTGTGTGAAAGTTTTGTAGTCATATTTAAACGCACGTGTGATGTACAATTTTTGCATCTACAACGCGAAAAATAAGAATGTTTTTCAGTTATTTTCGTTTTTTAGTAGTTGTTTACCTTCATTTTACCATAACAGGTTTACCTTTGACATTTGTCAAATCACCAAAACAAAAATAGTTGTGTTATAGATTCATAACCTCGTCCATAACACCACTAGTTGTGTTATGAATTCATAACCTAGTCTATAACACCACTAGTTGTGTTATGAGACTCATGACATAATTCAAATACTAGAAAAATGGTTATTTAAAATCGTCATAACCAAACGCTTGTAGATAAAAATATATTTTACAAACATTTCAACTTGAGGCCAAAGCCCCCTATAAAAGACATATTATGTAACAAATATGACATGTATTCTTCACAGGTAAAAAATGCACAGAATGAGAATCAACAGCTAGTTTTAAAAGAACAACATGACACGCATCTTGAAAATGCGCAGCTTGCTCGAGATCAGTTGAATAAAGATTTAAAGAAAACAAGTGGGAACCCATTCATAGAAACCCTCTGCTACGATATGGAAAAGGTCCCAGGATTACCTAAACTACCAACAAATATTGCTTATTATAAAAGACAATTGAGTATTTCTAATGAGGGGGTTCATTCAGGCTCCACAAAAACTCCGCATATTGTTTTTTTTTTTGTGGAAAAAAAGTGTAGCCGGTCAGGGAGCACAAGAAGTGGGCTCATGTTTAAAGAAGTTTGTCGAAGTGCACCTTGAAAAGGGAGTAGAGGAATTAATATTATGGTCAGGTAGCTGTGGTGGACAAAATTGTAAACAGATTCAGGGAGCTTGGATCCTTTCCAGGTTATAAAAAACTATTATTAAATTATTGAAAAGGATCCATCTGCCAAAGAAGGGCTTAAACTATATTTTGCTAAGTGGAAAAAAGATAATCCACTAGTGTTTATCATTTGCTTTCAAACGTACAACAATTTAATATGGAAAAAATTTCTAAAAATATGATAATTTTTAAAAAACGTGATATATTACAAAACCACCGACTACGCAAATTTATAATTTGGTGCTTGGATACTTTTCAATTAGCATCATCCAATTGCTATAATTATATGTCCCTGACAAGTCTCTTGACAATACTAGTAATTATCTATATGGTAAAACAAGGTAGAACAGGTTAATGATGATAGAACAGATACAAATAATAATAATAAATAACTTATTATAACACGTTTTCCTTTTTTTTTTTAAACATCCCAGTCAAAATAATTTAAATCATTACAATGATCAACAAAGGATATAGAAGTTTCTCTTATGAACCTTCTATTTCTCCTATACAATTTTCCTCTCATGTCTTTAACTAAATATGACCTTTCTGAAAGTTTTTCCATTATAAATCCTTTTTCCCATTTTTCGTTTAACTGAAATAAAACTTTATCATTTTCATTTAATTCTGGTAAGTCTTTAACGTTACGATTATAATAATATCTTTGAACCTGTTGATTCCTATCAAGTTTGGAAATTACAATATTGGAATCAATAACTTCATTTTTAAGAATATCTGTACAAACAGGAATTTTCTCTTTCAAAACTCTGTTTAACAAAAGTTGAGCTGGTGAATATCCAATGCTAGGAATAGGAGTATTTCGATAACTTAATAAATATTTATATAATTCCAAGTCATTAGTCATTTTCATTAGCATTGATTTGGCGATATCAACGCCTTTTTCAGCAAATCCATTTGATTGATGATGATGTGGACTTGAAAAAGATAAAGAAAAATTCCAATCAGTTGCAAAACTTTTGAAAATTTGACTATTGTAAGGAACATTGTCAGAATAAAAGGTATCTGGTGCACCAAATCTAGAAAAAATAACCTCGAGTTTTTTAATAATCATTTCTGCCGATTTATTCGGAATATAATCTATTTCAATCCATTTAGAATACGCATCATACGTTACCAGATAATTTTTATTTTTAAACTGGAAAATATCACTGGATAAATTTTGCCAAGGTCTTTCAGGTAATGGATGATTTATTAATGTTTCCTTTTGATTATTAGGCCTAGTTAGCTGACAAATCTCACATTTCTCAATATATGTTGCAATATCATTGCCCATACCAGGCCAATGCAAAGCTTGCCTAGCTCTTAATCTGCATTTTTCAATGCCCATATGCCTTTCATGTATTAATCTCAACATATCTTCTCTTAAAGAAAAAGGGACAATTAATTTATTATTAAAAAACAATAAATCATCTATAACTAAAATTTCATCTTTTATTTTAAAGTAATGTTTAAAAGATGAATCAAGTTTTTTGTATTCTGGCCATTTTTCATTCGTAAATTTTAAAATATTTGATAAAATTCGATCTGATTTTGTTGCATTTTGGAAAACAATTCTTTTTTCAGGTGAAATTGGGAAGTTTTTAGAAATTAAATGAACTACGAACTCCATTTCAGGGTCATCTTCAACATTAACTTTAATAAATGATCTAGACAAAACATCTGCCACAAACATGTATTTGCCTGGAAGATACACAACTTCTAAATTATATTTCAATAATTTCAACAACATGCGTTGCAGTCTAGCTGACACTGTATTTAAATCTTTATTGAATATTGAAATGAGAGGTTTATGATCAGTATGAACTTTAATTTTTTTACCGTAAATAAACATATGAAATTTTTCGCAAGCAAATGTTATAGCTAGAAGCTCTTTTTCAATTTGAGCATACCGTTTTTCCGAAATAGATAAGCTCCTGGAAGCATATCCAACAGGTCTATCTTCCTGGAGTAAACAACAGCCCAAACTTTCACTTGAAGCATCAGTTTGTAAAATAACATTTTTTTTTAATATCATAAATTTTCAGAAGTGGAGGCTTGGTCAAAATATTTTTGATAAGATTCAACTCGTTATCATGAACTGATGTCCAAACAAAACGGATATTATTTTTAGTTAATTCTCTCATTTTTGCTGTTAAATTTGATAAATTAGGAATAAATTTAGAAAAGAACTTTAACAAACCTAATATTTTCAACAAATCACTTTTATTTTCGGGTGGTTTTATAGCTAACACAGCATCAATGTTAGTTTTATCCGGTTTAATACCAAACTCAGAAATAATTTGACCTAAAAATTTCACCTCCTTCAATTTGTATTGAAATTTTTTAGGATTAAATTTCACATTATTTATTATAGCACGTTCAAAAACTTTTTTTAAAGCGGCGTCATGCTCACTTTCAGTCTCACCCACAATTATAATATCGTCAAAATAATCATATACACCTGGAATATCACCAAATATATCCATTACTTTCTTTTGAAAAATTTCCGGTGCTGAAGAAATCCCAAAAGGTAATCTATTAAATTTATACCTGCCAAAGGGCGTGATAAAAGTACATAAATTAGAACTTTCTTCATCAAGTTGAATTTGCCAGAAACCCTCTTTCATATCAAGAACCGAGAAATATTTTTTTCCTGTTAATTTATGAATAATGTCATCATTCGTTGGAATTATAAAATGCTCCCTTTTAATATACTTATTTAAATGTTTTGGATCTAATTATAAACGTAAATCACCATTAGGTTTTTCAATGATCACTAAATTATTGACCCAATCTGTAGGATACTCAACTTTAGAAATAACTTTTCTATTTTTTAAATCATCTAAAGTTTGTTTCAGTTTATCATTTAGAGAGAAAGGAATTTTTCTTCTTCTATTTATAACTGGAATAGCATCATTCGACAATTTTATTTTGCTATTAGTTGAAATGCAACCTAAACCTTCAAAAATGTCATGGTATAAATTAACTATTTTA